AGGAAAGAACTAAACTTTTTAGATATAACAATAATAAATACAAACAATTTCCACTATGATTTCAAAATCCATCGAAAACCCGCAATTACGAATATACAAATAAAACCGAATTCTAACATTAATCCTGCAATAACATCTGGAGTCTTCAAAGGTTTTATATCAAGAGCCTCAAAAATTTGTTCTCCAAAATACCTTCAAGATGAAATACAATTTATAATAAATATGTTTGTCGAAAATGGCCATAAAAAATCTGAATTAGAGCTTATAACAAAAAATTATCTCAAAATCAAAAATAATCCTGTTGGTGTAGTTGCAGATCAAACAAAAAATGGTAACATAACAATAAAACTCCGATGGATTCCAAGAATAGGATCAAAATTAAGGAAAGAGCTCAAGAGATATGGCGCTAAAGTTATATTTACAACACCACCAACTTTAAAAAGAATTTTGTGTAATAACAAATCCAAACTATTGCCAAATAGCAAGCCGGGTGTGTATAAGTTTACGTGTTCATGCGGTAGCGTTTATATTGGAGAAACAAAAAAGAAAATTATACAAAGAAGTATTGAGCATCAGATAAACAGTATGAAAGGTAATTGGCATGCTTCCGGAGCCACAGAACACTGCAAGAACTGCCACGGTATATTTAATTGGATGCACCCAAAAACGATCGCATTCAAGTCTAACTACCATGAAAAGAAAATAAGAGAGTCACTTGAAATTAATTATGCCTAAACAAATTAAGAAATAAGACACTTCCCACCGCTTTTGAACAAAGACAACGGTGTTAAAATTGCGTCAAATAGCTGGCGACCTCTTTTTAAAAAAATCATAGAAATTTCAAAATAGTTGTTTACGTTACGTCAGCTCATCTTTGTAATGTCTTCTATAACGGTTTTTTACATACGTTTTTTGTGAGATTTTCATTGTATTTAATTTTACGTCTGATGACGGTCTGAACTATTCAGACTGAAATATTACATAAATAAATTAAAGTATTAGTACTTAGCTGTATTGTATGTGTTATAAATTAAATAAATAAATTACTGTCCCTGTTATTACTGTCAAGTTTTTGTAGCACTAAAAGATCACAAACCAAATTTTCTGAACAAATTTCTTTCGAAGGTTATTGGTTTCCTCAAAAAGTGAGATTGGACATGTAAGCAAAACTAATTTGGAAAAAATCAATCATATTCTTAGAAATAAATTAAATTAATGACAATGGAAAAATACCACTGATGTTATAAATTGGTTCTCTAAAAACCAACAAGAAAAAAGACTGTACATTTATTCAATTTGACATTAATGTTTTTTACCCCTCAATAACTTGAAATTTTTTAGATAAAACAATTGAGTTTGCAAAAATCCACACAATTATTCAGAAGAAACAATTCGTACCTTAGTTTATTTTAATAAGGAAACATAAAAAAAGAAAAACATACATCTTTGATTTAACAATGGGTAATTCTGATGGAGAAGAAATTTGTGAATATGTTGGACAATATACTTTAAGATTTATTAAGTAAAATAATAAATATTAATGATATATGATTTTACTACGATGATGGTTTAATAGTAATTTGTAAAAAATCTGGTCCAAAACTCAATAAAATTAGAAAAAATATTATAAAAATTTTCTCTCAAATTGAAATAAGCATAAGATTAAAAATTGCAAATTTTCTTGGTGTCACATTTAACCTCTCTGGAAATTCATATAAGTCTTTCAACCAACCAAATGATGAATTATTGTATATAAATATTAAATCATCGATCCGAATTCTAAATTCCTATTTAAATTGATAACTGGCTGAAAAAAAACTCTTCTAAACGTATTAAGAATATGCCCTTAAAAAACAAAGGATTTCAAAATTTTGAATTTAAATTTAACCCTGAATAAAAGAATGCAAAAAAACGAATACAACCAGAAATATAATTTAGTTTAGCCACCACCCCCTTACCTTCGATATCCCCCTCCATCCTCCTGGCAACCCCCATATAGCAAAAATGTTTCCACTAAGATAGAAAAAGTGTTTTTAAAATTGGTTAATAAACATTTCCCGCCCTCTAATAAATTACATAAAATTTTTAATCGAAATATAAGTTAGCTACAATTGCACAAAAAATATGGAGCTAACTCCTGCTTTAGCTAACTTGTTTGTCATCAATATTTATAAGAATTAAAATTTTTTGAATTTTTGTAATAAGGCGTAATGCTTGTAAATATCAGATTTATCAGAATTTAAACGTTCACAAATCCTTGTTGCGTAGTGTTTAAACAACCTTATCAGAATTTAAAGGTTCTGAAATCCTTGTTACGTAGAGTCTAGTGGTTTCACCAATTTATCCAGCATTACAGCTGGGACATACAAATTTATAAACAACAAAGGATGTTACATTTTGGGGTAAGGAGTGTTTTAAAGAAGCATACTATTTATTTTAAAAGGTGTGAGAACTAGTCTTGCTTTTATGTTATCTTTACAATATTTTTAATATATATATATATATATATATATATATATATATATATATATATATATATAATATATATATATATATATACATATATATACATATATATATATATATATATATATATATATATATATATATATATATATATATATATATATATATATATATATATATATACATATATATATATATATATATATATATATATATATATATATATATATATATATATATATATATATATATATATATATATATATATATATATATAAAATTGATGTTGACATGTGTTTGAAATTCTCGTTATTTAGACTTTTCAAGGTTAAAAAAATCAATAAAAAAAGTTACGCACCTTAAACTACTCAGATAAAAAAATAAAGAGCTTGTAGAAAATAGTTCATAGACCACAAAAAAGAAACTTGAAAATAAACATTGGTATCATAAAAACAGATATAAGTGATCATTTCCTTGTTTTTTAAACAACAAACTCTGAAAGCTGTATAATCGAAAATTCTTAACAGTATGAATGAGGCATATTAACAACGACTCGATTTCAAGTTTTCGATCATTAAAGAAAAAACAAAAGTTCCATAATGAAATTTTTTTTGAAAAAATCAATTTTTTATAACGAAACGAAATATAAAAATTACAAGAAATATTAAAAAAAAAAGAAGAAAGCAAGATGAAAACTAGACTTAAAGCACTTGATAAGTCGAAATCGGTTGGTTTTGTTTGTGTTCATCCTTATGTTTTAAAAGAATGCAGTTTGTCAATACTATTTCATTATATTTAGTGTTCAAAAGATTGATGGAAATAGGTACCCTACCAGATGAAAGTGCGACAGATTGGGTTGATGTACTTGTGGTGTAACACAAAGGTCTGTTTTAGATATTCTCTTTTTTCTGGTATTTACCAGAAAATTTTATTAATGAATGACGTTTATATGCTGATGATAATAAGATAATTGCGCCTATTTCTTTTCAAAATAATTCACAATTGTTTCAATATGATATAAATAATTCATGGGTTCGTGCTAAGCACAACAGAATAGAATTGGTATTGTTTTAACTTTATATATGAAAACACGCTATTTGGTTTGTTTACTCATATTGAGCTCTTTTTAACATTATTATAGAATCCACAAATTGCATCCTTAAACTTTCTTGAGTCTCTAATTAATTCAAGAAAAAATACTTAAAAAACTTAATACAATCGCTGGTTCCGCTATAACTTGTAAATTCTATGATGTTATTGACTTAAATAAAACTATCAAACCTCATTCAGAAATATATCTTCACCTTAACATTGCATCACTTCCATATCATATTGATGACCTGTGCAGTCTTTTCAGCACGTTTAATATCATACCTATGGTAATAGGGGTTACTGAATCCAATTTATAACTTAATGAAGCCAATATAACAGGCATAGCTATTAGTAGATTCAACAATGAGCATTACCACACTGAGGCCGAAAACGTTTGCTCTTTTATATCAACAGTTCAATTCAAATTTATAGTTCGTCACGACTTAAAGATTTACTAACCATAACTGCAAGAATCTGTTTTTGTTGATATTGTTTTGCCCCACAAAATAAATGATCTAATTAGTTACATATATCGTCATTCATCAATAAACCAAAATGAGTTCATTACAAGGTTTTTAACACGGCCGCTTGAAAAGTTAAGCAAAGAACATAAATTGATCTTTATGGGTGATCTACTGATTTATAATAAATCTAATCCTATTTCTAACTACCTTGAAAGGTTATGCTCTTACTCGTTTAACCCTTCGATAAACCTGCTCGTATAACAGCTAAACCTTAAGCACTCATCGATAACATCTTTATGAACTTTTAAGCTTCTAATCATCTCTCAGGTAGCTTAAACCAAAACCTTACATTTCTGAAAAATTGAGGTTAATTTATAAAAACAACTTTACCCCCCCCCCCCCATATAGAAAGAGGGGTTCAAGTACTAAAATTAATAAACCTTACATTTTCATGTATATAATGTATATATATATATATATATATTTAAAAGACCGTAACTATTTATACATTCCGTTTCAGAATGAGCCCGATAACGCACGTAAGAAATACATATTTTACACCTAAAAATTAAAACATAATTTTGTCTATATAAATTAAATTAAAAAAACAAAATACAGTGAGCCGAAACAAACATAAATACTTATAAGTTAAACCGCAAAAAAAATTAATATTACAGGACTTGAAGATCCAATAAAAAAATGCTAAAAAACTTAAAAATGCAATTGTGCAAATAATAATAAAAAATAAATCAAATTGTTTTAAGAAAAAAAGCTTAAATACAACCCCCCTACCCTGTACAAACATTTAACAATAAAAGTGCGGCTCTTAAAAATGTGACATAAATATAATAGAATCAAATATTCACCCATATACTATCATAATGTTGTAAAGATCCCTTGAATTCAAGGGAGAAATTTTAAGTCATTTTTATTTATAATATACAGGGAAAAAATGAAATAAATAAAAAAACTCTGAAGTATTCAAGTTTTAAACTGAAAGACACCGATGAGATTTCATTTTCTACACCTCTAAAGTTTATTTCCTTTAATTGAAGAAAACCTCGCTGAAGTAAATATGCAAATCGTTTTTACGTTAGCATTAGTTAACTTGCATAATTAGCGTTAACTCGCCACTGCTCGCTTACACATATACAGAATTAAAAACCATGACCATAGAAGTAAGTTTACAAAAGCGAATAATGCCAAGCTTATATAAATGGTAGGAAATAAACCATTTAAAAATCTGCAAATTCTTTAGCACATTTTTCAGTACTGGAGATCCGCAGAGCTTCTTCCTCATAATCATCGAAATTCGAAGGATCACCAGGACCTTTACAACGAGGAATAAATGGAGCATCCACCTAAGATAAACTTTAGTTTAAACACAAATAAAAGAAGACTTTAAAGCATTATGTTTAGATTTAATTTTAAAAGTTATAGAAATAACTTAAAAGCTACTTTTTTCTGATAAATTGCAATCCAATCCGTTGAAGAAAACCAACGGTGGTTTTTTATATCCGCTACACCATTTTTTAAGTTACCAAAGCGCTTTGTAAGATCAACTTGCAGTAAACTTTTTAAAAGATCTTTAAGATCCTGACTGAAGTGAGAGGGACATCGCATCTATAAAAAATAAACTCTTTTTTTAAAAAAAAATAATTGAGCGAATTGTTTTTAGTGTGTGTGCGTACGTGTGTTTGTGTGTGTGTATGTATTTGAATGTATGCCTTATTTTTTTCTGAATTATTTTTTTTCAAATATATATATATATATATATATATATATATATATATATATATATATATATATATATATATATATATATATATATATATGAAAAAAAATTACGACAAACCTAACAATTGCTAACTTCTTAGATGTTACATTTAACCTTGAAAGACTCATATCATCCTTTTAAAAAACCAAATAGCAACCTATTTTACATCCATACTGAGTCCAACCACCCCCCACAAATTATTAAATAAGTTCCGATTGCTATCAACGATAGGTTATCCCAGAATTTTTCTGACGAAAAAAATATTTAACTCAGCAAGGGCATAATATAACGAAGCCCTAAAAAGAAATGGGTTCAAAGATTTTAGCTTCAAATACAACCCTAAAATTGATTCCAAAGTAACTCCCAATCGTAAAAGAAAAACAAATATAATCTGGTTTAACCCATCATACAATAAAAACGTCCTCACAAATGTAGACAAAACCTTCTTACAATTAATCGACAAACACTTTCCAAAACCAAATCCGCTTCATAAACTATTTAACCGTAATACAACAAAAGTCAGCTACAGCTGTACAAGCAACATAACAAAAATTATAAAGAACCACAACAATAAAATTATTTCGATGAACCCAACGGCCACTTTAGCTTGCAATTGTAAACTAAGCAAAATCTGCCCTATGAACGGAAATTGCAGGAAAAAAAAAAAGTAATTTATAAGTGCATTGCATTATTCCCAAACACACCCGACAAAACATACACTGGTTCAGCAGAGGGCATGTGGAAAACTAGATGGGCGAATCACAAGCAATCCTTCAAAAATAAAAAACTCACAAATGCAACCACGCTTTCAAAATATCTATGGGATACACAAAAAATCAAAATCAACACCCAATTTAAAATGGTCCATATGCCCCCGCCTACAACAACATAACCAAAAAATGCCTGCTATGCTTATACGAAAAACTAATTATTTTATTGTATAAAAATCCTCAAGAATTATTAAACAAAAAAAACGAACTAATATCTAAATGTCGCCACGAGAAAAAGTTTTTGCTGGACAACCACAAACTAAAAGATTTTTTTTACTCATTTTCTTTTGTACAGATTTATTATTTTTTCACGACAAAAAAAAACATATTTAAACACCTGATGATTGCATTTAGCACGAAACTTATAGTTGTAAAAAAAATATGTAGTTTTATTTATAAATAATATATGTAAATACAGCTTTGTTTTAATTTAAATTATTTTAATTTACTTTAATTCATCGAGCACTCTCACGAAGATATATGCAAGCACTAATACGTATACATACATACATGAAGTTACTACACTTCTTTTTCTGTTAAGAAACAGCTTTTTTTATTTTTAAAATTGATATTTGAAGTTACTTTCAGTAATGCCCACGCTTACGATATTTTACCATTAAAACAAGACAGTCTCCCTGTGACAGTTAAGATAAAAACCTGAAAATCAGAATTTTGCAGTTACGATAGTTGACCACTGGAGTACAGATATATATATATATATATATATATATATATATATATATATATATATATATATATATATATATATATATATATATATATATATATATATATATATATACACACACATTGATTTTCTGTTCTTAACATCTTCTTTAGCCCTTTATAGATCATTGCTATCATATTTAGCAGGGTTTTTTTTTCACATGCGTGTGGCATGATCTAAAACAAAAAGTTGTTAGTTTTGAAGTTTACGGTAATTATATCCCTATTACCCCGAAATTTTAAATAATAACAAAACAAATATATCTCAGTAGCCCAAATTAATAAAAAAATTTATATGTAATGTATACTTACCTAAATTAGATAAAAATATCTCAATGAAATAACAAATGGCAATGCTTTGATGTTTTTGTTTTTATTTCACTAACGTTTGTACATAACCTATATTTTTAAAAGAGTCTTGTAGCCAATATAATTTTGGTGTTTTTTTGTTATAGTTTTTTTATGTTATAGTCGTAGTTATCATAAATGTATTGCACAAGTACATGTGCAACACATTTATGATAATTTTTATCTGGGTACATAATAACTAATTTTTATACAGAAAATATAATTTATACCCAAATTACTCCAACAACAGAGAATTTATATTTGTTTTTGATTTTTTAAGTAGAAATGTTTTTGAGATATGAACTATTTTCTTTAATTTTTTGCTTTAAAATTTAGAACCAATATATAATTTAATAGAACAAAAATTAGCTAATTAAAAATTTAAGTAACAAAAATATTTAAGGTTCATTAATTTAAAGGGAAAATATTTACATTTTTTCTTAACCTAGAATACAAATATTTGCATTTGTATTTGGGAATCAAATATACTTGACCTGTAAGCAAACCTGAATCAACTGAGGTTTTAGGAAGGAAATATCCATCTATAAAGGAAACAGCAACAAAACTTTTTTATAATTATTCAACTTTTGCTGTGTTCTAGTACTGTGCATAACTAAATCAACAGTAGTAGACAAGTCTTTAATCAACTATGGTTTTAGGTCTATCAAAAAACTAATTAAAAAAATTGTTTTGTTTTAATATGATTCATTTGATAATAATATTAATAATTTATTTCATAATAATTTAATTTAATTTATTTCATAATAATTTAACTTAATAATTTATTTAATGATAATTTAATTTAATAATTTATTTCATTATAATTAAATCTAATAATTCATTTCATGGCATTTAATTGTAGTATTAAATGGGGAAAATAAAATAAAGCGAGCAAAACTTGTCAAGTTTTTTTGCTTTATCTAATATTTATATAAAGCAAACAAAATTATTACTTACCTTATATAAAAGTTTTAATCTCCTTTATATTTTTATAAAGGGCGGTTCAATTTATTGTGTAAAAAAATACATTGCATCTGTAGATAATCTATAAATAGTAGTTCTCACACCACCTACATTATAAATGGTCCATCAACTTAATAATGGACTAAAATTATTTAAAAATTAATTTGATGAAATGATACATATTATTCAAAAACAAATACAGGTTAAGAATATTTTGTGTAAGATTTTCTCTGAGGAGAAAAACGATATAGTAATACATGTTTACAAATGTTTCTTTTCTACATGTGTTTAAAGAGTTTAACTTAAAGAGATTAAAAGTTAAAGTTTTGTTTTGTTTAAATACTAAGCTAAGTAAAGTATTATTAAAAGTTCAAAAATAAAACTAACTTTTTTAAACTTTGTTAATGTATATTTAACAAATTTGATAAATAAACAGCAAGAAACAACAAAATTAAAAATACCATTTTTTCAACAAAACTTTTGCATGATAAAAAATATATCAAATTTGTAATCAGAGAGTAATAAAGAGAACATTTAAAGCAAACATAATAAACTCAGCTGCTAACAAGCTGGTAACATCTTAAAAACCTTTTTGATAGATAAGATTTAAAATTATTATAACACAAAATCTTTACCTTTCCAGAAACGATTTTTTCATAAATTTGAATAGGTTGGTCAGCAAAGAAAGGAGGATAACCAGCAGCCATTTCATAGATAAGAACACCAAGAGCCCACCAATCTACTGCTCTATTATAACCCTAATTAAATTAAACATTGTTTATTTAAAGTTTATGCAACTTAAGAATGCTCTCACTCCTACACACACACACACACGCACACACACACACACACACACACACACACATCTTTATGGCAAAACTGTTCGCTTGTGTATATATATATATATATATATATATATATATATATATATATATATATATATATATATATATATATATATATATATATATATATATATATATATATATATATATATATATATATATATATATATTATAATAATAATATATATATGTATCTATATAAAAAATATATACAATATATATATTATATATTTATTATCAAATCTCGAAATTAGGGTCTCTGCATTCAGCAATGCCAACTTAAAAGTGTTTGAGGTCAGAAAAAAATTGCCAACCTTGTTTCTATGTTTTATGGTAACCCCTTTGTGTCAAATTTTTTTTGCCTACCTTATGTCGACCCCTAATAGTTTGAGGATGGTAATTTGCCGACCTCAATTTTTCCTAATTCTGAGGTTTGTATATATAAACAATTTTTAAATGTATTCTACAAAATAGAGTACTCTTAAAAGAAAAGAGCAATAATAAATTAGTAGAAAATCACTTTACAAAATTTTTTTATTTAACACTGTGTTTCATCAATAAATGCTTACAGATTTCTGATAAGTCTTTATTGATGAAACACTTTAATTACTAACTAAATTTTAACATCAATAAATGCTCACAGATTTCTGATAAGTCTTTATTGATGAAATTAAATCTTATCTATCAAATTAAATGAAAATTTTTTGTTTATTAAAAACTTTTGTACGTACATAAACACAAATTTAAAATTAGTTTTTAAAACTCCTTTTAAACTACAAATACCTTTGAATATTCTAGTAAAATTATTTAATACTGGAAAAACAATTAGAAAAATAAGTTTACGAAGAGTATAAAAACTTAATAAAAATATGAAAACCATTAAAAAAATAACATTACAAAAAATTAAGATAAGAAATAGAAATTAAATGAAAAGAAGTAACAGCCATATAAATTATGAAAAATGTTTGTAACAAACATAGACTTGCATTTAAAAAGTATAATTAAAAAAAAATTAATATATTAAAAAAAAATAAAAAAATAAACAAGCTAAGCCAAAAAACTGAAATAATGAACCTTGCTTAGAATAATTTCAGGAGCAAGATACTCTGGAGTTCCACAAAGAGTCCATGTTCTTCCTTTAACTCGTTTACCAAATCCAAAATCAGTAACCTATATTTATATAAAAAAGTATAATAAAACTTTAAACTAGTTTTTTTCAAAAATTATAGATCTTGAATAAAATAAAAAAACCTTTAAATATCCTTTATCGTCGATCAGTAAATTTTCTGGTTTCAAATCTCTATAAACAAAAATTATAAATTTGAGTACCACTACAAAACACATATCAATATTTTTTAGATGATTTTGTTAAATATAATATAATATAATGCATGTCCATTTAATTAACTTTAAACATGTTTATTTAATCAATTCAAAAATCTAACAAAAATTTAACTGATAAATAAAAAATAAAATTAGACTAACTTTCAAAAACTTTTATGTTATGCTATGAAGTGACATGTGGATGCTGATTGATTTTAGTGTTATTGATTTTATTTGTTGTATTTCATATTGATACTGTATGCTAATGTTCCAGTAAATCCAGTAAATTAGAATTCAGTAATTCTAATAGTAAATTTAGTAAATTATTTCTTCTTTATTATTTGATTAAGTATAGAGCTAAAGATAATTTATGTTGATGTTGTACATGATGATGTTGATGCTGTACATAATGATGTTGATGTTGCACATGATGATGTTGATATTGCACACGAAGATGTTGATGTTGCATATGATGATGTTAATGTTGTACATAATGATGTTGATGTTGTGCATGATGATGTTGATGTTGTACACCATGATGTTGATGTTGCACATGATGATGTTGATGTTGCACATGATGATGTTGATGTTGCACATGATGATGTTGATGTACATAATGATGTTGATGTTGTGCATGATGATGTTGATGTTGTACATGATATTAATGTTGTACATGATGATGATGATGTTGTACATAATGATGTTGATGTTGTACATGATGATGTCAAAAAATGTAGAACTATAGCTAATATTATGTTAAAAAAATGTTAAAAAATATTAAAAAATATAGAACAATAGCAGGCCTTGTGATGAATAAAAACTGCGTGACGCATAAGCACAATGTGATTTTTGACATCATTTAATTCTTTTTATTTGCTTTTCATATTTATCGACATTAACTGCACCAATTTACTTAATTACCGCAAAGCTACTTTAAATCATTAATGTAGAAATGATATTATTTAAAAATGTTTTGGAATGTTTCGTTTTTTAAAATGTAAAAACATTTGTTTATTTTCTTGACATTTGATCTATACTGGTCTATACTAAACGAATAAAAAACATTATAACTAAACATTTAAAAAAGATTATAAAATATGCTAATATTTGATTTTTTTTTCTCAAATATGTAATTTAAAGTTTTTCAAATAATTATTTTTTCTTTTTAAAAAGTCAGCGAGTAATAAACTGGAAATTTAAATATTGTACGATTAAAAACTGTGCAATAGCTAATATTTTTACCAGCGATTTTATATAATATTTTTTTATTTTTATTTTATTTTCATAAATACTAAAAAATATAGCATAAAATCTTTTTATAATAAAATCTACTTGCACTAGCAGTAGTAGTAAAACAACTTTTTTTTTTTTAAGAAAAAAAATTAATGCACGTTTTATATATGTCCTCATTTAGATATATTTTATATTTTAAGTTTTATGAAATGGCTTATGAATACAGGTTGCAAATTAATTTTTATTTTATACGTTTATTGAGCCTTTTTCAGGGTGTTTTTGGAAATTCGCTTTACATCAGTAGAAACCGGGTAACAAAACCAGGTTATATAAACTTATCAAACTATTGACGTTCTATTTTTCAGCAGCTGTTCTTGAGCATGTTTCATTGAGTTTCAGTAACTTTACAATGGTACCAAATAAGCGATTGTTATTATTTATTTTTTTTGAGTTACTTTTTACAAAAATTTTAATGACTGTACTTTATTATTGAATCAAGTAGAATACGTTTTAATATTATTCCTTTTACTTTTTTTTATTTGCACTTGCCAATTTTTAAAATGTTTCCTCGAAATTATTCTTAAATACTTTAAATACGTCTAACAGTTATATATTATATTTTTAAATCTATGGAATAATTTTAAAACCTAACAAACCCCCGTAAAATAATTAAGTTAAAAATCTAAAACTAAAAGAAAGTATTTTTGTTCAATTTTACAACAACTATTGCTGAATAATTTTATTAAAATGTTAGCTTAAAAAGATTTAAGCTTTTTTTTTAATCTGAATTTTTTCTACTTGTAAATAATGAGCATATTTAATGTTTTTGTAATATCAACTGCGTGCGGTTTTTAAAATACTTTATCAAATGTTAAAATAATCGTAAATTACTTCATTAAAATTCCACTCAAAGATATCTTTAAATATACTCAAACAAAAATTTTTTTGCTCGACGCAAATAGCTCTAGCTACACGCAAACTTGCTCTTGGACGACGAAAAATTCACATCGCCCGACGCTTTATCGCAAGGCCTGCTATAGCTAAAATTATAATGTTAAAAAGATGGTTGAAAAGGGAAGGTTATAAAAACATTTATTCATATTAAAAACTTTATAACACCTAAATCTCATTAAAAATATATATTTTTAATATAAGTCATATAATATAACATATTTTTTACTAATATCACGAATATAACAAAAAAAATACATTTAAAAATTTCTAGTTTTTTTTACAGTAGTAAACCTATAAATTTTGAAAATGGCTTTAAAAAGACCAATAAAGTATTTTTTAATTGAATTGTTTCAACTTAACACATAAATGAAAGAATAAAAACCCAGTAGTAAAATATATTTTAAAGTTAACTTAAATTACTCAAAAAGCTGTTAAATCAAATAACTACAGAACATTTGTTCATAACTTTTAAGCAAAAAAATATCTTGAGTAAAAAAATTGAAAATAATAGTTTAACATGAACAGAACAGACTGCACACTTAATAGGCAAATATATACAAACCAAATTGTTTATGGTTTCAATAGATTTTTTAGTTAAGAAATTCTATTTCAAGCTACTACACTATGTATATATGTAGGTATAATTAAAAAAATTATTTTAAAAAGTTTTTTAGACACTAATGATAAAAATATACTAATGAAAACAAAGTTTAGTTTGATGGTTGTAGACAATATTTAATTAAAAAAGCAAGGAAACTCAACTGTTTACAATTGCAGATGGAAAAGCAACAAATGTCTAACTGACTTACACATCACTAAGTCTTCAAATGGAAAAAGAACCAAGAGAATATATACAATCAACATATGTCTTTAATCATACAATAAAGGATTAATAAATCAAGATTTTTTAGTTAATAAAACCAAAATACAACTTAATGTAAGAGTAATATAAATTCATGTTATATATATATATATATATATATATATATATATATATATATATATATATATATATATATATATATATATATATATATATATATATATATATATATATATATATATATATATATATATATATATATATATATATATCAGGGCTATAAGACTAATAACAGGACTCAAGTTTTGAAAGTCAAAAAACCCCTATTATTCCTGGTCTCTATTCTCCTGGAGCTATGTTTGATGAATGTTTTTGTCATTGGTTTTTGAAAATGTCAAATTTATTTTAAAAATGAATTTAATCAGATCATGTGACTCATTATATTAATATATGTTGACCCATCATTTTTATTTTTACGAATATTGCTTTTAAGTAATGGTTTGATTATAACATTTCTTTTTTGACTACAAAAAAGAAATTCTTCCTTTTGTTATAAGATGACTTGATAAATTCATTTTTATATAAATAATTTAATTGAGCGCAAAATAATGTTAAATTAAACCAGTCTCAAACTTATCTATTTTATTCATAGGATAAAAAAATTATGAATAATAATAATTTTTGAAATGTCTATAAATGATAATGACATTTTTGCTAATAAAAATAATGCTTTGACACATTTTAAATGGCAAACACTTTTGAATGAATAAAATTGTAAATAATAAAGTTATGAATATCTTTAATCAGTGAAATTATTTATAACTTTGTTGCTTTTTTCTTGTTGTTATTTTTTATGTTTTGGCTTCTTTTTTTTTTGTTACATTTTTATTTTAATTTTAGTTTATATTTAATAAATCATTGTATAATTATTTGTTTTGATTTTTCTATATCTAAATGTTTACAACTGTTATACTATTTAAATCACTGAACATTGCTGTTTTATTTTCTTGCTTATATACAATCAACATAAATTAAAAAACCATTTTTGTTACAAACCTTCTTCATAAATAACTTTTCAAATAGATTAATTGTAGACAAATAAATTATTATGCATATATTTATGTTATTCATTTTTGCACTCAGAGAGTTTGATAATTCCTTTATAAAAAATACTTTTTTAAGTTATATTTGCGTTTATAAGTTATATTTAATTTTATAAGTTATACATAAGTTTATATTATTCGATTATTTTATTCACTTATTATGTTATTGACATATAATATAACCTGCTTAATGAAATTTTTAAGCATAACACATTAGAAAAAGTTAATCCATGTATGTTATTAAGCTTCAAAAGGTCGGTTTCCCACATGTAACAGCCCAGAATATAAATAATATAATATTTACAGTTTAATAGGGCTTAGTGTATATCTTATTCTGCTTCTTTATGGCTAACTATATGTTGTATGTTTTAGAACAAAAGCAATATTTTTTTCCAAGTTAATATTCAACTCAGGGTTACTTTATGTTGGATATTTATGAATTTTGAATTTAACTAACTAAATTTAAAACTATAAACTAAATTAAAAATTGTTACACAAATAATGTATTTTATAAAGTTCCTTATTTATCTTTAATTTTTTTTTTTTTTTTTTTGAAAAATTGATAGTTACATCACAACCGCATGTTTGTATGCATGCTATGATTTTAGTTACTACTTGTACATTTATAATTGTTTTAATGTCTTGTTTTATCAGTAGCAACATGTAGAACTAGGTTTTAATATTAACCAGTAAAAAGGTATTAATAAACTATGGTGTTACTAGCATAGATCATCCTAGTCATATTTTAAAAATCTGGAAAATTGTTTGAATAAAATATCCGGAAAAAATCAGGAATTTGTTTTCCCTTATTTTCTTTTTAATTTCGCTTTTAGCTAAGTTTTTTCTATTTTTTTTCACACTTTTGATTATTTTTCTATGAGTAAAAAAGCTTAAAAAACCAATATATTACAAAAATATATACCTCAACTTGCATGTATTGAAAATGTTTTGGATATTCTGAAAAACTAAAAGTTGAAAAAAATATCCGGAATTCTGGAAATATCCGAAAAAAGATAATCCCTGAACTAGGCAGCAATTAGTGCCTAAAATAGTAACACCTATTTTAGGACTATATTGTAATACTAAACAATTTAGATCAATTCAAATCTGGCAATATAATAATGTCATATAATGTGTTATAAAAATATAAACAAATTTTTCTTTTTCATGTTTCTTTTTTGTTTCTTTTTGGCAGCCTGTATTTGGCTTACCTTCTCCTTTGTCTGCTGCTATTTAGTCTTTTTATGTTGTTAACTAAAACCCAAGATAATACTAAAATAATAATAAAACAATGCACAACTAAGGTATAAAAAATTAAGTTACACTTAAGGTATAAAAAGTTAAGCTCATGGAACATGTTACTTCCCTTTTCAATTTTGAGCACGACTTTTTATACTTAATGCTCGTGATTATGCTTACCTTTGTAATATAAGAATAAAATATGTAAAACTTTGAAAAATATTCTCACCTATAAATAAGATCAAGAGAATGTAGATATTCAAATGCTAAGACAATTTGTGCTGCATAAAATCGAGAATGAGGTTCACTTGAAAATATAAATTAAAAGTTTTTAAAAATGAATGAAGATACAAACTGTGTGTGTATATATATATATATGTATATATATATATATATATATATATATATATATATATATATATATATATATATATATATATATATACCCTACTAATGGAGAAACAAGTTGTTGAAGAAAAAAAAAATAGACAAGTGTTTTTACTAATTGATATATACACACATATACATATGTATAATCACACAGTACATCATCTCGAATAATTATATGTATAATTGAGAAATAACTTTTATTCTTGATAAAAAAACAGATACTTAAATAAACTTTTTTCTACTTTGCTATAATATTTTTAACTTTTAATTTTATTATATTTAAACTAAATTTATTATTTAATATTAATAAATTTATTTTTAAGAAGACAATTTACATACATTGTCATAAGAAAGTTATAAGATTTATTTAAACTCACTAAAACTGATAATTGAAACAATCTACTAATTTTTGGACATAATTAACTTGAATTTAATGATTAAAAATATTTATTTCATAAACATAATCAGAAAACTCTAAGTTAAATGATTTTATGATATTATGGATATATTATATTTATTCAAAATATATCAAGACTTTGATCAATATACTTATTAGTAATAAGTTATTAGTAATATTTTGAAACTACCATCAGACTAAATTTTCTTTAAACTATTATAAATTTGTTAAAAAGAAAACATTGTACACACATGTCAGTTATGAAACTGAAAAAAATGCAGACCGGCATTTGGAATAGAAATGAATAAAAAAACAAAAGTTAAATTTAAATTCTGAGTATGAGTATGAGCAACTAAACACAGTCTCCTATAAATTTTTGATTTTGATGAAATAAATCATCTCCTATAAATTTTTGATTTAAAAGAAAATCAATATATTTATTTATTAAGTAAAGCATTTAAATAAAACATATCTTCTACTTTCAAAGTTTGATTTAAATAGCTTCTTTATTTAACAATACTGACATCTTAAAAATGTTTTCTTTTAAACAGACTGTAAAAAGAATAAATATTAAACATATTGATATGACATACTCAAACACTGACTAGTAAGTGACCGGCATTGGTATTTGACCGGGGCCAGGTTTGATAAATATATAACTGGGGCTGGGGCTGTGAGCGGGGTTGCATAAACATTTATATATCATAAAGCATATTTTTTTAATTCCAAATTCATGTTATATTTTGTATATATATGCATATATAAATATCATTATGATCAACATGATTATCATAATCATCATGATGATCATGATGATGATCATCATCATTATCATTATTATCATCATCAGGCTTTAAACTTCCTTTTCTCTAATATAAACAATCTAGAGCACTTATATTTTATATAATTATAAGTTTATATAACAATGAATAGATATAGTATGCCAACATCTAAATAAATAGCAAACATGTTTATATCCATAATATGAATGCATGAAGTGCATCTTGGAAGCTTTTATTCCTTCTGGAATAAAAGTTTGGAAGCTTTTGTTACTTCTCTTTAATTTTAAGTCAGGCCTCATTCTTCTACATTCATACAGGCAAAGAAATCTTACTCTAACTTGACTCTTGAATATAATGGCCATACTCCACCTGACAGTTAAACAGATTAATCCATTGTTAAACATGGAAATCGCTCTGGCTTCGAATGCTAAAGTTAATTCTCACTTCTTTCGTTTTGTGCTCCAGAATAGATTTCCATCATAGTCTTAAAAAAGTGTTCTCCAGAACTTTCTTCAATTTTTTCTAAATTTTTAAAAAGTGCTAAATAAGTGGTTCCAATTTTTCAAAACTCTAGAAGACACTTTGACCTCTCTAACTATCCTACGATAGTCTTCACTGTTAATTTCTTTATATAAAAAGTTTGAGGTTATTAAATTATTTCTTTCTAACTGCAGTAGTTTAGATATTCTTGAAGGCCTACCCTCCTCTTTATAACAAGTAACTTTAGGGTACCACAAGGTTCTATCTTTGCTGTATTGTTTTTTATCTACAATATCGATCTTCATGAAATCTAAAGTGACTCTATTTGCTGATGACTAAACTTTATACTTTTGTCTTAACAAAAACTCTTCACTTTTTAATTGTTTAAAAAAAGCAGCTGATTTTAATCTGATCTCTCTTCTGTAACAACCTAAGACTTGCATTGGCTTATGGATTTAAATTCTGGACTTTGAATCCACAATTGTTAGACAATAAAACTCATTTACTGCAAAAATATTGTAATACTGTCAGCATTCCTATATTGAGAAATAACAACTCTCTTACTCTCAGACAAAGTCTAAAAACACATTTTAAACGTAATTAGACCTGCTTTATCTGCCAAGCTTGAGCTCCTCTCTGATTGTTGTAAGGCTGAATTTTTTTTCTTTCTACAAATACAATCATGGTCAATGCTCAAACGAGCTATCATCTCTATAATGATAAACCAAAACTCATTTTTGCTTGGCTTTTTAACAAATTGCACCCTTTTATTGTATCTCTCCACTCATGCTATTAAAAACTTTTATTAATCCAGTTTTTTTCCTTAAACAAAAAATTAACATCGAAATTTTATAACTCTTACCCATGTTCATGTTTTCTTTTTTTATACAATTTAAAACTTCTGAAGTCTTTAGTTATACGTTACATTGTATTTCAACTTATTCTTTATTTTAAAGTAACTCATAACTTAGTAGTGGTTGCTTGCAACCTTGTTGGAAGTAAATTAGAGTTTAGAAATATATAAATATATGTCAGTATTTAATAAATAGTCAATGTAAGTATAAAATTATAATATATTAAGTATTACTAATTATTTTCTAGTCCCGGCTATCAACCCCTGCTAAATCTTACAAATTTGCCAGGGTCAATGCCGGGTTTGCAAAAGGTCTCAGTTTTAGCCGGGGCCCTGGTCACTTACTAACACTTACAACATATTTTTTTTATATATAGAAATAATAAATTAAAAAAGCAGACCTAAATCTACCAATACGCCTCAAATGAGAAAACATTTCACCACCAGGAACAAATTCCAAAACCATATACAAATTTGAATTATCCTGTAGAGATTTTACAGAAAAGTTGGAGAATGTTTTTAAAAATAAAATAACTTAACAATATTTTTAGCAAATATTTGTCAACTAACCTTGAAATGCCACTCAAGTTTTACTAAAAATGGAAATTCTATAGCTTGCAGAATACGCTTTTCATTTAATGTATGTTCAACTTGTTTTAATTTTACAACTTTTTGCTTATCTAATATTTTCATTGCATAATATTTTCCATTTTCTCTTTGTTTAACCAGCATTACTCTTCCAAAAGATCCAGTACCAAGTGTCTTTATTCTTTCAAACTCATCAAGGCCAGCTGTGTTCTAAAACAATTTATTTTGTGTAAGTTAATATACAACTTAAAAACGCTATAAAAAAATTTATTTTATTGTTTTTTTTTTCAAATTTTAATGTTACATGTAACAAAATGATTTTGACAGATAAAATTATTACCAGTTTTGAACCAACAATTTATAACAAATATAGAATAAATATTTTGCAGTGTTTATAAACTGCAAAATAATAAAATAATATTTTATTCCTTTGTTTTTCTCCTTGTTGCTTAATCTTTTTCAAAAACTATTTTATATTTAACGACTGTTGCTTTTTAGTTTATCAAGTTTAAAGCTTCTTACATCATTTAAATCTAAATCACAACCTTTTTTTTTATTAATTTACTAAATATAATTTAAATTTTTTTACAAACCTAACAATCTTTGTTAATTTTTTTTTATTTTAATATTTTGTTCTTTTGTTTTCCGTAATTTTTTTTTTTTTTTTTTTGATTCATATTTAAATACATTACAAAGTTGATATTGCCTTTATACTGATATTTTAAATACATTTTCAGTATTCAATTTAAGTTGATATTGGACATGCATTGCATAGAAATAAATATTAGTTGGCTTTAATTGAATGTTTTCGCAATTTTTTATTCTGACTTATTAAATATTATTTTAAAGTAAACAGAAACAATTTACAAAACTAGTTATAATTTGTACTCTATAAAATGGCCTTCACCCACAACATACTATACAGCAGGCATACATAATATTTTACATAAATAAAAAGTATGCAAACATAAAAATACTTTAATTTCATCTATTTTTAAGTGGGCTTATTATTATACATTTAATTTAAAATTATTATAAGATATTTTCTTGTTATTTGCAAATAATTTAATTTTTCAATTCCAATAGTGCTCAAATAACATAATTGGCCCTTTAGTTAACATCTAATAAAAGTTTAGAAAATCTAACGAAGAGTCTTATTAAAAGTCTTTTATTTTAAATGATATTGAACAGCAATTTTGTTAAAAATTAAAATTTTTTAATAAATTCTAACTTATTAACTATAATACTTTAATATTTTATGTAAGAAAATATATAGATTATCTAAAATAATTAGTAACATTTTTTTCTGTTTCATTAACTCAAAAAAAAAAAAAAAAATGATACGATAAGAATGATATGATAAAAATGGTGTATTTTGGTGTTATTTATTGTTAAGACTTACATTACAGTGCAGTTGATGAAGCTAATTTTTTCTTACTCTTTTTAACTCTTTTTTTGTAGTTAGTAATCCTTTTAAGTTCAGATTTTGTACTTTTAATACAATTCTAATGTCATTATCAGTGTTAGTTACAACTGCTTTGTACTTTTAATACAATTCTAATGTCACTATCAGTGTAAATTATAACTGCTTTGTTTGATAATACAATTCTAATGTCACTATCAGTGTAAGTTATAACTGCTTTGTTTTATAAAATAAAAGAAAAAACATAAAAAGGGAAGAAAAAAAAAAAATCAACTTACATGTGAAGGACTATCCCATTTTTTTTTAAAATCTTCTTGAGCTTGACTCAGAAATGCTTTCACTTAAAAAATAAAAACTTAAAAGGTAATTATTGAGTATTATATGAAATATGTTTATAGCCTCTGCATAGAAAAATGATAAAATTTAAATTTACACCACATAAATACAGAGTTTTATTACAACATTCGCTGTTAATAAAAAGTTATCAAATGGATGTATTGTAAATTATTACCTATTAACTATGATATGAACTTATTAAATATGATAGACATGTGTTTAACATGAAAAGCTATGAAATATACTTTTACAATTTTATAACAGATAGCATGTTATAAAATAATATCAATGTTAATTAAGTAATAGAATTAAACAATGTCTAAATATAATATTTAAAAATTTAAACTAGCTTTAAAAAAAAAAAATGGTGTTAAAATTTTAAATCCTTTTAATAATTAATATTATATGCTTTTTTTTTATTTGCTAAATAACTAAAAACTTTGCTAAATAAACTTGCTAAACAAACTAAAAATAAGATAAAGCTGTATTCATTAACTAAAAAGGAACTTGTTTACTTAAAGGCTTTACTTAAAGTGATTTTCATTGATCTCATGCTTGTCTACGCATGGTAAATATATATATATATATATATATATATATATATATATATATATATATATATATATATATATATATATATATACGTATATATATATATATATATATATATATATATATATATATATATATATATATATATATATATATATATATATATATATATATACGTATATATATATATATATATATATATATATATATATATATATATATATATATATATATATATATATATATATATATATATATACGTATATATATATATATATATATATATATATATATATATATATATATATATATATATATATATATCTGCTCTTGAGCTCATTTACTCCCGCCTCGGCGGGAGTAAACGAGCTTAAGAGCAGAGAAAAGTTCTTCTAAAACGAACATGGTGAGCCATGCAAGCTGCTCCTCTAAACTGCTTTTAAAAAGAGTTATTGGTTTTTGCAAGCTATCTGTTTATTTACTATATCTGTTATATAAAAATTGCTTATTAAATACAAAATTTAGTTTTATACTTGTTACAAGTATGTTGGTAACATTACTGTTAATTTTTGCAAAATCCGTGCCTGTTTGTTATCAAATTAATTCAATTTTTTTGACTTTGTGTTTTTCATTTAGTTACAATAAAAATTATACTTTTGAGAGAAAAAAAACTTTTGCGAGAGCTATAAATTGTTTTAGGTGAGTGTAGACAAGAAGCAAGCGCTAAAACTATTGCTTCCTGCTTATACTCCGAGGCCTGTGTGTGTGTGTGTGTGTGTGTGTGTGTGTGTGTGTGTGTGTGTGTGTGTGTGTGTGTGTGTGTGTGTGTGTGTGTGTGTGTATATATATATATATATATATATATATATATATATATATATATATATATATCAGACTTGGACAGGAATGGCGTGCTATTGCTGACCACACAAATGATTTTATTTTTTGACAACTTGACCACGATTGTTTATATGTTTTGATGATTTAAAAATTTCAGAAATGCTCTGAATGTAGAAACGCAAGCTCAACTTAAACTAGGAAAAAAGTTTTAAAAAAAGACTAACGAAAAAAACATTCCTAATGAAAAAAGAAATGAAAAACAAAATTGTAACGAAAAAGAAATCATATAAGCACTAAAATAAAAATGAAAACTTAAATGCAAAGTAAAACTTTTTGTTTCATTTTTAATTATGTATGAAATAAACGTTATTAAAGCCTATCTTTTTAAACGTTAAAAGTTACGCAAAAGGTTTTTAAATTAAGTAATAAACTACTACTAATGATTGTTTAATAAATTCTATTAAATTTATTAAAAAGTGTTGTATATAATATTTTTAAATTGTATAAACATTTATTTTTTCAAAAAAGTTGCAAAAAAAAAAAAAAAAAATTTATAAATAATGTAGTCTTTTTAAAATAATAATTGTTAATAATTTCATGCTCTAATTAGTAAGTCTAATTGAAAAAAAGGTTTTCAACTTTTTTATTTGTAAAAATAGAAAAAAAAAAACAATAAACTCATTTATTCCTATCAAAATTGAACAAAAAAATATATATATAAATATTTTTTTCAAAAAATATATATATAAATATTTTTTTCAAAAAATAAAATGTTTATTTAAAACATTTTAAAAAATTGTAAGTTTAATAATAAAAATTAATCGTATGAACATTACAAAATGCTTTAAAACTTTTTCATTAATCAACAAAATACATTCTTATATAAGTAAATAAAGCTATTTTATATTTTTGTATAATTCACATAAAATGTATAAAAGCTAGTTGTCACAAAAGCTTTTAAACTTATTCATAAAATAAAGTAACTTAAAAAAATTCTTTCTAAAAATAATGGTTCAAAATGTTTTAGGAAAACATGTAAAAATAGTTTCAAACATTTAAATTATTCATAAAAAATACGTCTACATAAAAAAACTTATATATAACGTTTTTTATTAATTTACACATGCATTTACAAAACAATAACTATAATTAATTTTATGGTTTTATTTAAAGCCTTCACATAAAATAAAAACTTTAGAAAAGATCAACGATTAAAAGATATTTATAACGTAACACTTGTTTTATTGCATTCAAATTGTTAAAACATCAAAATAGCTGTGGTCAAGTTGTAAAGGAAAAAAAAAATTAGCATGGTCAGTTACAGAGTGCGATCGCACGCCATTCTTGTCCAAGCCTGATATATATATATATATATATCAGGCAGTCTTTTTTGTTTAGCCAGCGCTTTTGTGCTTAAGTCTTTTTGCGCTGGCCCACACGCCCGCAAAGACTATGGCGAGCGCATAAAAAAGCGCTTACCAAAAAAAAAAGTTTTGTTTTAAATTGCAATAAAAATTTTTTTAGTTTATTTGTTCAACTTTTATGAAAAATGCTTTTTTTTTACCTTTTTTTATGACTTTATCTACTGTTTATTCAAAGTACTTGTTTGGCAATTCTTATTTTAATTTAAGTAGCAGAAAAAAAGAATTTTTTAAATCGCACAGGTTAACTTAAAAAAGGCAATCCTGACAGCCCTTTTTCGTGCGCTGACATTAAACTTCAAATGGAGAAGACTGATCAGGTTAACCAGAAAAAAATTTAATACAGCGTTTTTGGTAAATTGGGATTTTAGGTGAGGCCTACAAAAAAAAAAAGAAAAAAAGGTGATTGCATTATGACAATTAAAAAATTAGATTTAATTAGATTCAAAATCAGTGGTAGCGCACTTGCCTCAGAAATGTAAGATCCGTGGTTCAAACCCACCTCTGGGCAAGTTTTGCAACATCGGTTGGGAAGGAGGCGTGAACTTCCTATTAAATGCTCTTCCACGGTGCCCTGCGATAAGACCGTAAGGACTTCTTGGGGCACCTTAATCAACTTTATAAAAAAAAAAAAAAATTTCAATCAAATTTTTACATAGATACATCTTCTAAAGTTTTTAATCGAGAAAGTTGGTTGGTACACCAATTTCTGTCAAGATTAACCACAAGAGTTAACCACAAGAGTTTTCTTGCAAGATTATCAGTTCGATAATCTTGGAAAAAAACTCTTGTGGATTCATCTGGAGCCACATTCCTGGTTGTTTATTAGTCCTAATAAATCAAAAAGAAGCCACGACCGTGGTTCAATTAAAAATTAAATAAAGGTTGAAGAATTTATTGTCAGAAATTTTGGTTTTCCGATTAAAAATGTTTTCTTTGCCATTATTGTTCTGGTAAATTCTGACAATTTTTCATTAAATAAAGATAAAATAACAAGCTCTTCTGTTAAATACCAAAGGTGATGGCGATTTGACGAAATCACAGCGGTTGCGATATCTGAATCTTCTTCTTGATACCAGTTCATTGCAACAAAAAATTTGAAGTCATCAACTGAAGCAAATAAGGAAATCCTCGAGCGGAGAAATTGCATCGAATAAAAAAGACTAATAAACTTAGCCATGCAGTAAATCATAATTTGCTTATTATTGGACATAATAAATTTATTAGATAAGAGTTCCATTTTTAAAATATATATAGAAGTTGACATAAATCTTGCATTGTCAATTGCACCTGGTTTGTGAATTTTGAATATTCTGTCCATTGATAGTTTTCCCCCAAAGTAGATAATAGTTAATCAATTAACTCAAGATAATCTTCTCGCGGAAATATTTTCTCTTCGAGGCATTGCTTGCTGTTGTATCAAAGCATATACCAACATTTTTTCCAAAAATGTTCCAATCTTGCGCAAGTTTTACGGCCGCGTCACATTGAACTTTACCTGTCGAATCTTTAATCAAAGGTACACCAATAAGTTTCGGCCTGCAAATAAAAGTTAAGTTTCTTTGAATACAAAAATAAAAAATATACATAGGATTTATATAAATTAATAAGTACCCGTTAGAAGATCCACTGATAAGAACTGTTTAAATGAAAAAGCTTCGAATCCCAGTGCAAAATGGCCTTTTTAGGTTTGTTTATCTCCCAGTCAGCTTTAATTGAGAGAACAATATTCTCCCGCGCATTTTGTCTTTGACGATGCACAGTTGATACTGAAATTTCATCAAGGTTGCCTCCGCTTTTGCAGATGATAGTGGATTGAAATAGAAGTTGTTGGCAAACTGATAAACAATATCGATCTGCCACAGATGCCGTTACTTCTGAGAGCTTCTTTGCTGATATCTCTAGTGAAATTGTTAAAGGCATATTTCTTTTCTTTAGTGGTAAAAGAGTAAACTCTGTATCTTCTTCATCAGCACTTTTAACTAATTCACTGACTTCAAAGGCTTTCCATTTTTGATCTTTGGTTGAACTTCTCTGAAAATCTATGCTTAGTCTATCTTCTCGACATTCTAAAAATTTTGAAACACCTAGATCGATGTTACCTTCCTTAAGCTCACCAAGAACAAGTTTAAAAATATCTCTTGCAGAAGTGTTGCCTTTTGAATAAAAATGTAAATGAGAGTATCTACCCAAAACATATTTTTTTGTTGGTAGACGACTGAAACTTGATAATTTATTGGATTCAGGGTAACCAATTAACCAATCTTGATTATTTTTTAGGTTCATCGTTACAATAAAATATTCGCTTATCCGACTAGTTTTAAAATTGTTTTAAAATTTCAATTTTGCTAATTGATATAAGAACCAATTTTTTTAATAAATTTATGAAATTTATATATATACGTCCAGATGTTTATTTTGCAAACTATTTAATCACGCAACAACTTTTAGTGGTCAATTATGCTTAAAACATAAATTATGCATTTTATTTAAGGTGAAGTTTTTTTGAAGCATTTAAGCAATTTTTTAGCAAAAAAATATGTTGAAAAAATAAAACTTTAAAATTCGGCGACCTCTAGGCATTAACCAATACTTTTGAAATTTGGCCAAATGTTTATCCGATAACCTTTATTGTACACACCAGGTAACATAAAATTAAATTAATTATTTTTTAAGTAATTTAAATTTTAAGTTGAGAAAAACGTAAAAAACACCACTTTTTCGAGACGGCAACCTCTAGATGATATTTTAAAATTTTGAAAAATTTACAGGCTTTTTTTTGGCCCATTATTTACCCTGTTATGCATGTAACACAACCATTTTCGAAAAATTGTCGGAAATGAAACACCCTAGCCAACATCTGCGTAACAGTCGAAGCTCCATAAAAGCCAATGAAGAAATAATTACAGTGCCTTCTTCATTTAAGTGTCAAAAACTTTAGGTAGAATTGCTGGAAAGATTAAACGCTTTCAATCCTGCTTTAGTAAGAGCGTCAATAGAGTCTAATATGCTGGATTTGATTGAGAAACCTGAAATGGTACATGAGTCTAAAAATAATCCTTTAAGTATAGAAGAGGAACTTGATCGCGTTATTAAAGAAGGAAAATTACCGATGCAACCAGTTATACATGATAAATTGTTATCAAAAATTCAAAAATCCCTGGATCCCAGGATTGATGTTTTTTAATCCCAGAATCTCAGGATTGAAAAAGACCTCCAAGATTGCAATCCCAAGCTAAAACAGTGGAACTTGGTTGATGATAGTGTAAAAGTCACGAATCAGAGGAAGCAGCATCAAAGATTCTCCAACTTCTTCAGTCAGCATCAAAGTTGCAAGGCCAAAAGTAGCAAGGCCAAGGTCAAGGCCACATGTTACAAGGCCAATGCCAAGACCAAAAGTTACAAGGCCAAGGACAAGGCCAAGACTGCATATTACAAGGCCAAGGCCAAGAATATGATTTTCAAGGCCAACGTCTACACAAACATTTTGAAGATCATTTAAGATGATTAATTACATAATTAATTGCATAAAATAAAGAATGAAAACTTTTAATTCTTTATATTTATGTATTTTTTTATAAAGCCAAAGCCAAAACAATCAAGGTCAAGGCCAAAAATTTAGAAGGCCAAGACCAAGGTCAAGACCGAAAGTTTCAAGGCCAAGGTCTGAATTTTTGGCCTTAAGGCAAGCCCAAGGACTAACAACTCTGGTCAGCATGATGGGCTGTGCTTTTGCAACGATCTCTTGCAAAATGATTGGGAAGTTTACACTCATAGCTAACTGGTTGTGTTTGATCTACAAGCAACCTCGGCTCAGCACATCTTCTTGTTGCAGCAGCAAAATTTTCACTCATTCCATTTTTCAATCATGAGTACTCTTGCTCGTGCAAGTATTTGTATAGTAGTAAGATCATCCGTAAGAGAACTTCTCAGCATCCGTCGAACTTCCTCAGAAACAAAGGCACATGCAATTACTCTGTCTGGTAGCCCACAGATTAACGTAGATAATCTTCGTAATTCTTCTGTAAAATAAACATCAACTACCTCTCCATGCAATAAATGCTTCAATGGCAAATGCTTTTAGCAACGCCTCTTTTATCAAAATCCTCTTTATCAGTTTCAGCTAACTGTTGATATACTGCAAATGCACCATTCATGAGACAGAGGGGAAAAATACTCGCCATTCTATAACTGATTATTGATCATTTCCACTAAACTCCAGAATTAACTTTAAATCAAATTTAGTCAACATTTTTGCCAAAATAGCTTGTTGTTTAACATTAAAAAGAATTTTTTAACCTAAGCGTAAAATGCCTCATTATCTTAATGCAATTTAACAAAATTTCTATACAAACTAATTCTCTTGATATTTACAATTATGTCTTTATATTATATACAAATACTTCTATATACATATACAATTATTTACAAGTAACGCTAATAGATCATTAGCTTTAAAACAATCATTAACTATATTTACACATTACAAGCACAAGAAAGCAAATGATTATACTTCTACTCAAAAGATAAATTTAGTGTGATGTACTTTATGACCCCTAGTAAAAAACTTAAAAAAAAACAATATCTTTTAGAACAGCCAAAAATGTTAAATTAGAAGAAAAAAAAATTAATAAATTGCAAAAATAACTAAAAAAAAAAAATTGCAAAAATAACTAAAAAAAAGAAAGAAAAATACATAATATTAAACGAACTCTACAAAGGAGAATAATATGTATCTATCAAAGAATTAATGTATTCCAAAGGAAACATTGTCTAAATGGTCAAAAGAGAAAAACACATATTCAGAAGTTGAAAATAAAAAAACTTCTGCAAAAAGTGTGTGGATATGAGTCTCTCTAAATTGAGGATTTGAATAAACATGTTATATATGGCTTTTAAACACCCAACACTAAAACATTCATGTGTCATTTTTTGTCAATAAATCTTGAAATCTTGATAAGCCTGACATCAGAAAGTCAAAAAACTTCAAATAATTTGGTAACAAGAATAACGAGAGCTTCGAATAATTTGGACATTCTCTAAATCTGACAAAATATATACCCTTTCAGAGTATGTATGTATGTATGTATGTATATATACAACCCTCGGAATTAGAGTCGGCATTCGGCAATGCCGACCTGAAAGTGTTTTAGGTCGGCAAAGAATTGTCAGCCTTGTTTCTATGTTTTATGGTCAGACCTTTGTATAATATAATTTTTGCCGACCTGATGCCGACCTCTAAAAGATTGAGATCAGCAAGTTATTGTCGACCTCATTTTTCCTAATTCCAAGGGTTGATATATATATATATATATATATATATATATATATATATATATATATATATATATATATATATATATATATATATATATATATATATATATATATATATACACACACTAAAATTGTCTTTGGGTTTTCACACTAGCTACATATTTATTAACATTACGTATTTGATAAAAAAAATTAACAAAGAGCTATAAAGGTTTTTAATGCTTATAAAAAATGTTTTACATTTTCTTATTTTAATAGAACGCAAGCATTTTGAAAATTATTACAACAATCAAAAATTCCACGATAAAAGTGAATGATATTTTAAAGTAATTAATATATATATATATATCTGATAATATGAATACGCTAATTTAATATTATTATTAGTCGAGTTACGTCATTTTCTAGGCTTTTCTATTTTAAAGTAGTTTCTAGGCTTTTCTATACGCGGTTTTTTTTTTTTATTTACTAACAACGCGTAATACGGGTTGCTTACTGCTAGTATATATAATATATAATTCATTATATAAAATATATAACTCATTACATAAAATAAAAATTTATATGCGATAATTAAGAGTGTAATAATTTTATTTTTTATCAGTTAAATACTTTTTTACTTTATCAATATAATATTGAGTGTAATAATTTTATATTTGTCATTATATACTATATATATATATATATATATATATATATATATATATATATATATATATATATATATATATATATATATATATATATATATATATATATATATATATAAATATATATATATACATATAAATATATATATATATATAAACATATATATATATAAATATATATATATATATATAAATATATATATATATATATATATATATATATATATATATATATATATATATATATATATATATATATATATACAGGGCTTGTGATGAATCGAGCGCGCTCCGCTTGTGAAACGCGCCCATAAATGGTATTTTGAAACGTTCCAGGCGCGATAAACAACGCTCGTTCAGCTTATAACGAGCGTATAAAATAACGCTCGTCCAAGAGTTCGGGGCTAAACAAATAATAACTTTTTTTTTTATTTTCATAAAATATGAAAAAAAGATTTTTAATAAAGATTTTATAATATCGAAGCACTAATATAATACAAAATAAAAAAAGCACTACTTTTTTGCAAATGAATGAGCAGTTTGAAGTCGTTAATAGGCACTAATTTCATTGATGGAATGTGCATGTAGAAATTCAATGCAAATACAAAAATGCACAAATAAAATAATAAAAAATTAGTAAATCATTATAAGAAAATTGAAACTGCAGAATATTTTTAATCTTGTGAAAACATCAAGTAAGATTTATTTGATTTATTGTTTGTAATATTCCATACATCGTTTATAATAAAAATAAATAATAATGATTCAGTAATTTTTTAAATTAGTTTTTGTTTATAGTATAAGTTTTTTATTAACTATTATTTATTTTAACTCAAATTTAAAACGATTCTGTTTTTTAGAATGTCCGCAATCAATGACATTCCAAAAGGAAACAAAGTAATGTTGTCAACATTTATTAAATGGAAAGTTCAAGAGGTAATAGGCTTTAGAACTGAAGTTACCAGATATGAGTGACGAATTAGCTGCATTCAGTTTCGAAAATGTAGAAGAGGAAACACCGTTGACAACAGTTGAGGGGAAAATCTGTTAATTAACCTATAATGAATAGTTTTAAAAAAAAAAGATTTTCAAACTTTCTTGTGTTATTTTTTTAAGATAAAAAAATCAAGATAAAAAAATTTAAAAAAGAAATTTTAGAAATAAATTAATTTGAATAAAAAATATCAAGAAATATAAAAACTATTTTTAAATACATATATCAAAACAAGGAAACAAAAAAAGGCACTAAATTATAAAAAAGTCACTAAATTATACTTCAATACTAAATCAACAAGAAGTTGCGTTTTTGTATGATATTTTTTTTTTTATAACATAAATAGTTAAAAAAAATCCCGATCTGACAATATACAAGAGTGTTAATTCATGAGTGTGATACTAATTATAACATTTGTCGACGAAAGAATGATGTAACAAATAAAAAAAGATCTTCAGCAATTTTCATGATCGTGCTCGTCGACGTTATCTCGAGCGCACATAATCACGCTCGATGAAAACATATTTTAATTTTACGAGCGCGATATAAAACGCTTGACGATTTTATTCGTCACAAGCCCTGTATATATATATATATATATATATATATATATATATACTCTTGCATGTCTCTTGCGTGGCATCAAAAAATATTTCCCATAAACTGTAGTTTTAAAGAGCACGTTAATAAACCAGACCAGAAAAAGTTTTAAAAATTAAATTTTTTTTTTTAATTGATAGACTGCCTGGCCAAACCAAACCCTCAGTCGATGTAGCAACACTCTCTTGCGAGTCAGGCTATTTGTCAGTCGTTGTAGCAGCACTCCCTTGCGAGTCAGGCTATTTGTCAGTCGATGTAGCAGCATTCTCTTGCGAGTCAGGCTATTTGTCAGTCGATGTAGCAGCACTCCGTTGCGAGTTAGGCTATTTGTCAGTCGATGTAGCAGCACTCCGTTGCGAGTCAGGCTATTTGTCAGTCGATGTAGCAGCACTCCGTTGCGAATCAGGCTATAAGATAGTCGATGTAGCAACATTTACGCATGTTTAAAAAATGTTTTTTATTAAATCAATAACAAAAACACCACTAATTAAAAAAAACTTTCTAGTCGTTATAATTGCGGTTTTTTAAAAATTTTTTAAAAAACAATTAAATTTAATGTACTTCCGCATAAATTAATTGCTTTGACATTTCGATGACAATCAAAAACAGCTTAAGAGACGAGGTAATTAAAATTGTAGTCGTAAGAGACTTTTTTTACATTAAAACGCTCTTTCGACTACACTATAAGGGTATATATATATATATATATATATATATATATATATATATATATATATATATATATATATATATATATATATATATATATATATATATATATATTTAAAACAACTGTGCATTTTAAAGAGTGTTGCAGTTATTATACAATTAATTGATTTTTTTTTTAAAGAAAAGACAATGTTTTTTATTTTATTTACAATGATAAAAATACTTTTAAGTGAAAAAATTATATTTTTGCGAGAGCCGTAAATTGCTCCTGTAAACTGTTTTAGGGGAAAGTGGCCAAGAACTTACCACCGAGGCCTGTATACAACTAACTACACGATTAGTGATTGCAGCATGCTACCTCAATTAAATTCAAAATACTAATTTTAGTCAAAAGTCTCATAAAAGCACTTTAAAAATTTGTAAACAATTTGTATTAAAAAAAATGGCTTAATTGAAACTTTAATATTAAAATCAAAATCAAATTACGATTTTTATTTAAACTATTTTATAAAATAGCTTAAATGTACATACATATATTAAACATTGGTATAATAGCAATAGTAAAAAAAATGAAACAATACTGATATTAAAAATCGCATAATTTAAAAGCAATATTTTTTGTTTCTTATTAACTGTTGAAAATGCTTTAAACATTTTTGATTAAAACCAATACTTCATAATAAAGTAATATTTACAAATTAAACGTTCATGGGAACCATGAGAAAAAATGTGGTTAAAAAAAAGAAACTGGATTTAGTGCCTTAAACCTCCAAGAATATTGGAGACCTCTGGACTACTTTGAAGGGAAAAATTAGTTTGGAGTACAAAAAAGTCAACAATCTTAATCTAGAATCTTTATCAAAAATGGTAGACAAGATCTTAAGCCTAAAATATAACAGACTCCATAACTTTTAATTCCTAACATTTTATTCATATTTCCTACTAAAATCAACAATATAATCACTGGACTATTTTTACAACAAAAAAAAATTTTGTCTTTTAAAGTTTTTGAAATAAGTAATGAAATATTTTAAACAGTATATTCTGAAAACTTTAAACTATTTTGTTATTCTATTGTTGACAGTATAAAAAAATGACATTTGATTTTAAAAAAATTCAAGATATTCATGTTCAAAACTTACTGACTAAACACTAAACACTATTCATTAGATCAATTCTAACAAACTCAGTTCTTTGAATTCTGCATAAATAATTTAAAAATAAAAAATAAATAAAAATAAAAAATTAATTTGAAAATTCAGATTTAGATCAGACAATTATTTAATTAAAAAAAATTGTCAAAAAGTTTTTAATTTTAAAAATATTCTCAAATAGGTTTATATATAGTACTTTGATGTATTAATTCACAAAATAATGTTGCACACATACAACTTTTAACTAATAAATGCATAAATAGTTTAGATTAACTCATTATTTTAATAGTTAAATTGTATAAAGTTATATATTATTTTAAATCACTACAGCTTTTTTTTTTAATTAAATTTATTTCATAAGTAATAATAATATTACTGAGTTGGAAATACTATATAAGTTGCATAAAAGTCTATATCTAATCTATTATTAGATAATAATATTATAATAATATATTATATTTCATTTACCAGCCATTAACACATAATTTTTATGCTGTTAATGAATATACTAATTTAAAAAAATCAAATTATTATTACAGGAAGGTTAGATCTAGGTTAATTACTGAAAAAGATCTCTAATCACTGAAAAAGATCTCAAATACTTTATACAAACTATGAAGTATATGTTTTGCATGCAATCCTTAGTTATATATGCCAAAAATTAATATATAAATGCAAAACTTTTTAGAGTATTATATCACTACACAGAGTATTATTGCACAGAGTATTATATCACTAGTACACCCTTACCCACAGTTAAATTGAGAGGTTTATATTAAAGTTTTCTTACCCAGGTAAGTTGATTAATTTATTAATTTTTTATTTTTTATCTTTATCGATTTAATTTATTATTTAGTAAATTAATTGACTTCTTTAACCCCTATTTTTATGACTGATTATGATGAAGAGTTTTATCCTGAATTATATAAAAACATTAAAATTTAAGGAAAGTGCTCTAATCTTATATTAAAATTTAAATTTACTATCTTTTAAAAATTAACTTTAACAATCTTTTTAATTTTTTACAAAAACTTTTTTTTAATTATACAATCTAGTTTTTATTGTCATTAAAATCAAAATTTAATAATAGTTTTTTAAATTTATTTAAATAATATTAAATCAAAACAAAACTTTATCATCATTTGAAACAACTTAAACATTATAAAAATTGAAAGACATGAAAATAAATTAGCCTGACTTGCCATAAAAAATCATCACCCTTATAAAAATGAAATTAAGCTTTAAGAACTAGTCTAAATATGTATTTTCAGAGCTTTATTTTGATTAGAAAAAAGTTGTTGGAAGCTTTTTTTATTTTAAACAACAATCTTTCAGAACCTCTTTATAAAATTGGTAAACTCAAAGGTGGAGCAAAAATTTAATTAATCAAGAATTATCAATATCCAATATCCTTTTTGTTAAAACCATTTGTGTGTAAGCCAGAGTAATATAAACCACAAATAAATATAAAAATTCTGGTCATAAATGATGAATATTTATAAAAAGCATTCTCTTTAAAAAAAACACTCTCGAAAGTATATCCTGCATTACAAACAACATAAAAACAACAAAGATACTCTGCATGATAAAACTTTAAAAAAACTGCTTACCAGCATTTTCCGAATCTCCTTTCTTTGCAGTTGCTGCATTACCCATATTAAATATATTTGTTGTATTTTTTTTATTTATAAAGCTATAAACTAATGCTATTTCTCATTTTAATAAATTTAAAAGTCGTAATTCAAAGTTTGGTGTTTCGTGACAACCTTTTCATTTACTAGTTCCCGCTGCCGATGTAAACTTTGAAAAAAAGAAGTACGGAAATAGCAAAAACATGTGTTAAACTATTGGTTGAAAACTGCTCTGGCGACTTTTCATTGGTTTTATTTTCCAGCTGTTCTCATAACTAACAAATATACCGAATTTTAATGTAGAACCGCGTAAAAATAAAACTGACCGTTAAAATATGTCGCAAAAAATAATACTTTTTAATAAAGAAAAAATAGCAAAATATTATATTTATTTAATTCAAGACTTCCGTTATGAGTATAAACTAGTCAAAAACAAAATACGAAGTTCGTGCGTCATGCTTAAACGAATTTTTTTTTTCAAGCGTAAAAAAATTATAAGCTGCATAAAAATTATGATTGGCTTAAAAAAATTGATTTTTAACAAAACGATTGTCGATTTAATATGTTAACTTGAAAAAAATACGCAGCTATATGTCATAAATACTGACTATTTAGTAGCAAATTGCATTTCATTTATTTCTTTGAATAAAGTGCCAATGCCCTTTCCAAATGTACGTACGCACATACATACATACATGCATACATACATACATACATACATACATACATACATACATACATACATACATGCATACATTTTACATACATATATACATACATACATGTGTGTGCATATATATGTGCATATATATGTATATATATATATATATATATATATATACATATATGTATATATATACATACATATATATATATATATATATATATATATATATATATATATATATATATATATATATATATATATATATATATATATACATATATATATATATATATGTATATATATATATATATATATATATATATATATATATATATATATATATATATATATATATATATATATATATATATATATATATATATATATATATATACACACACACACACACACACACACACATAAACACACACACACAGATATATATATATACATACATATATATATATATATACATATATATATATATTTATATATATATATATATATATATATATATATATATATATATATATATATATATATATATATATATATATATATATATATATATTACCTCTATATTTATAAGCTTACATCTTTACAAATATACAAGTTAAACAAATAAAAATGCCTGAAAAGTCTATTTGAATAACAAATACAAATGTTTTTCAATTAAACTATAATTGTTAAATAATGCATAAGCCATGCGTACGTCAGAATCATTATGTTCAATACATCATTATCGAGTTGTAGAATCGGGTTGCGTTATATTTTTACGGGGAAAGGCTTATGTGGTTTTATCATTTTTGCATTATGATAATGTTAGGTTTTCAATATTTTACATATTTAAAGTTATGTTATATATTAATTATTTTTCTCTTTGTTTATTATTATTTCATTAATAAAGACATTTAGAAATATAAAATAATAATAATAATAAACTGAATTCGAACAAATTTTTAGAATCCAATACCATTTACTTCCTTTAGTAATCATTTATAAATATGAATGGAATTGTATGAAATAACTAAAAATATATTACGGATATTGCTTTAGTAAATGATAATGATTTCAAAATTGAATATATATTGGATTGAGAATGAAACCTTATGGACATCACATCGATGTCGAATTTATAAAACAACTTTCTCATGTCAAAACTTGCGCTACTTATTTTCTTTTTAAGGGGTAAATAGGTTTTCTTTTCATATCCTCATACATAAAGATTTATTATCTTACTTAGTTTATACAAAAAAAAGTTTTAAAATAATAATAAAATATCCTTTAAGTTTATAAATATATATTTAAATATATTTATAATTATATAAAATATATTTGTAAATATATATATATATATATATATATATATATATATATATATATATATATATATATATATATATATATATATATATATATATATATATATATATATATATATATATATAAACTAATTTGAAAATTTATGATTTTTGCTGTTGCAAAAGAATAAAAAAAACCCTCAAAAGGAGCAAATAATTATTCTGTAAATTTTGTTGAGTTTAAAATTTGTCTTAAAAAGATGTCATTTCAGGAGTTCGCAATTTCTTTGCAGCCTTTTAAAAATTCATTCAACTAATCAAAACCAGCAGTTTTTATTTCTCATTTAAAAATTACGATTTTTTTGTAAACTAAAAACTTCAGACATTTATGTTTAAAATATTTATGTTTCTTTGAATCTTCATAAAAATTTCTTGAATCAGTTATTAAAATGTTTCTTTTTATTAACTGATTCAAGAAACTTATTTTTATTATCTTTAACTTTCATTAACAAGTATATTTATTATTATAAAACTTAATAATCTACCAGAATTGTTTATTTCGAAGATTGAATATAATTTATAACCACAAAATAATGAGTTCATTATCTTTTTATATTGTGACCATAGAAACAATTTAATGGGATGTACAAAGGAAGCTTGTCATCTGTAAAATGTAACAAGTCTTATATAATTTATCTATATAAAACTTTTAGTAGATCAAAAAATGACAACATTTATATTCCTTACGAATTTAACCAGAAGTTATGTAAATGTTGCAAAATAGCCTGCAAATTTAGATCAGATGAAAGTCCGCGCATCCTTTGTATACATAAAATAATCAAATAAATAAACAGTGTAATAAATAAATGACATGCCAATAATTTATTTAATGTAGCGGCAATTTTTTACCATGTTTAAATATAACAAAATAAACAACAGAAATAAACTTGTACAATATTGAAAAATAGCGCAGCTTTAAAAATTTTGAAAGATGAGGAAGTGTGTTTCATAACATTTGTGAGTTTTTTGTAAATTTCTAAAAGTCATAGAGACCTCTCTACCACCCAGTACAAGCTGACTGTATATAAGTTAGTATTCTATCAAAAGAAAGTGTAACGTAGTAGCATTTTTCTTTTGATAATACGCTGACTTGCAAAATATAAATAGAGTAGCAATTTTATGTTTATTCATCTATTACTTTTAATATAAGATTTATAAAACTCTTAGAAAAAATTCAATACGTCAATTTTGTTTGCATTAAAAATGAATTTTTAAGAAGAATGTTTATAAATAGGAACATAAAAAAAATAAATTAATCCATAAAAAAAAATCCGACTGTCAGTCAACGTTTACGGACATTGTTTTATAAGCTTTGCTAATATTTCAAAGAAAAAAACCCGACATTAAGAAACTATAGAAAGTAATTTAATTATTTTAAGTCACCTTAGAAGTTCGCTTAATTTTTTATCGCTAATATTTTAAAAATAGGGGAAGACATTGCAAGATGACAAAAGTTTTAAAAATCCTGATTTTTTTTGGAAAATTGCTAGTCATGAAGAAATAGTAATTTTTCAGTATGTTTTTTTTTTATCAAACTGTTTCATTGCCTACATGAGTTTTTAGTGTGCAAGTAGAAAAACTTGTGTGAAAAAAAGATATAATTTATTAGCATATAAAAAAAAACAGAACTAACTCAATAAGATTCAGAATTATAGGGTTGGCATTCTTTAATTTCTTTTATTTGTGTGAATATAAACTCTTTTCTTAGTCAACTTTTTACTTGTCTCAGTGCTTTTAAAATATTAGATAACTATTTACAATGAATTAAGGCTCTGTTATCGCCATTTTTTAATGCATTTTTTCAAAAAAACTTTCATGTGAAATATTCAAACAATCAAAAACGTTTCAAATACAATGAATTTTTCATTGAAACTTATAATGGCAAAACATCAAATCAATTGTAAGTACTTTTCTGCCACAATAAATAGAATTGTGACAGCGTGTCCAAATTATTCCATTTAAACACTCATTCACATTTTACGTATGGTTATGGAGGAATTATACTAGCGAAAATCTTAATTCCTAAAAAAAATTTTTTTCAATGATGCTAGGTGCATAAGGAATACTTAAAAACAAACTAGGAATGAATTGCACAATAAATAACTTGCAATAGATGTGTTATAGTTCCATAACATGGTTGCTAAGAGTGTTGCTAAGAGTAAAATTATAGCAACATTAAGATGAATTCTTTTTTTTTTTTTGTTTTACAAATTTCGATGACAAATTAAGATTCTGTATTAGATTTTGATCTTAAAGCAATAAAAAATATGAAAATTTTAAGATTTTCACCTTCTTAATTGTATAGAAGTCCCTTAATGGTCCATTAAGTAACCGATGATTAAAACTTCAACGAACCGCTCAAAATTGCCTATAGGTCCATTGCAAATCCACTAAAACAATGTTTGCTGGGAAGTATTGCAAATTAGACTCCACGTCGAAAAAAATATCCATAAAAATGTTACACCCATTATCAATAACCTTAAGCGTAATATTTTTTTTAACGTAAAAAAAAAAACGTGCGCGTAAAATTTAATTAAACAATATGTTAAAAAACCAATTGGTACTTTAAAATACAAGTTATATATATACAGTTTCGTTTCACCAATATTTAAATTTTTTTGTTGAATTGTTATATGAAAAGCCATTATACCCCATTCCCTATTTTCCAACGTTTTCGTTTACCCTATTCAAATAATTTTTTTTAATCTTTTTTTTTTTAATCTTGGAGTACAATCGTAGTTATTAATTACCACCAAAATACTGCTCAAAGCGATTAAACGACATTGAAATAATACATGACAATTATTGTAAAAAGGTTGTCATTAAAGGAAATTGGGGCACAGTGGGTCAGATTTCTTTATTTTTTAAATTGATTAAAAGTTAAAACTTTTATCTTTTTTAAGGCATTAGGATTGAGATATATGTCCTTTGTGATATGAAATCATTTAAACTCAAATATTTATTATCTAATGGCTCACAGAAAGGTTTGAACTGAGTTGTGTTAAGTAATTTACTGTACCCCAGTACTGGCATACAGTGAACCACTACCTAAGCCACAATGAATCAACAAACACAGCTGTATATTAATGGTATGAATAGGGGCGTAGCCAAATAACTTTGAGGCTGAAGGAGTAAAGACACTGTACATTTTTGGCATACTTTTTAGACTTAAATTAGTATAAAATTGAAAAAAAAGACATTTTAAAAATTGAGAAAAAAAAAAGAATTTTATTTATAACAAAATTTATTCAACCATCTAAAATAACAACAATTTTTTTTAAGAAAACAAGTTAACAAAGTGCATCATCATAAGCTGTTAAGTCCACAGGAAAGATAAAATGACGAAGAATTCTAGCAGTCCCTCCACGTAGTGTTCTGGGTAATATTTCCAAGAATATCTTGAAGTGACACATCAGAAATATATCAACTGTTGAAAGAATAAAGAAAAATCGAAGGCTTTTTTTGTTGAAAAAACGATATCTTAAAAAATATTTTAACCATGTCTTCACTGAATTAGTGCCAATAACTTTACCAACATAAATAACTAAAATTTTTTAGTAGTAAGTTTGGCTACCTGAGAAAAGAAACTGACTAAACCTATTAAGTCCTCAGTAAGTCATATTAGTAAAACATACTAAGTTCCTAACGAGTACTTGCAAGGATTTCGGTAGTATTAGCAGGTTTTAACCAGAACTAAGTAGAAATACCTAGGTTTTTATTCGTCAAGTAACCATATTAGCTTTAGTCAGAACTTAGTAGGAATAATAAGCTTTTTACTCAGCACTTGGTATTTTTGGTAAGAACTTAGTAGGAATTATAAGTATAATATTCAGAAACTGCCCAGCAAATATTCTATAGAGAAATTCAACAATGCAAATATAATCTTGTGAGTATAATATATTCTATATTGATTTATTATAAATAAGTAATAAATATTGCATTATAGTATATATATATATATATATATATATATATATATATATATATATATATATATATATATATATATATATATATATATATATATATATATATATGTATATATATATATATATATATATATATATATATATATATATATATATATATATATTTATATATGTATATATATATATATATAATATATATATATATATATATATATATATATATATATATATATATATATATATATATATATATATATATATATATATATATATATATATTATACTTGTGCGTGTAGATTAGAAAAAGATTCTGAAAAAGAGATTAGAACACATGAGGAAGAATTGCTATTAATTAGAAAAGGTGAAAATCTGATTAAACATGGTAATCAACTCATCAAGCAGGGTGAGCGTAAAATTAAAGAAGGGGAATTACTGCTTCGTACTCATGGATCCAATGTAAACAGGTATGCATAGATAAATGTATCTCCCTCTTTTTATTTTGCACACACACATACATATTGTTTGACTATGTTTCACAAAACCTTCAAAATGTATATATGTTTCAATGTATTTTTTTATTATTTATAGTGTACCATGTAGAGTACCTAAATCATCTGCAGTCAATACATCTTGTACACCAAAACCTAGAAAGTCTTTTATTAAGCTTACAAACAGGATGAAGCGTAAAAGAACAGATAGTCTTAGAGAACGAGAGGTGGAAGAACTGCAACATGCTGTCAAAAGGTTTAAATCTAATTCTTCTATTGATGGTAGGGCTATTTTATATGGTTCAAATTTGTCATTGCAAGCTCTTTGTAATTTGAAACTTACAGATAGAACATGGACTGAATTTAAAAATATAGTGACTCATAATCGTCATCTTGTTCCTCCAGGTTTAACCAAGTTGAAGCAATATAAAAAATTGACATATCCAGAACAGGTTGAATATTCTGAAACCGAAGTAAAATGTAGTTTTTTCCATATGATAAAGCATTCAGTTTCTAGAGTGTTTGAATATCTTTTGGATTATGAAAGTAACTGCATGATGAGTTTATCACAAGAAGAGCGTGATAATGTACAAATTATTTGCAAAGTAGGAGGTGATGGTCAAAGTGATCAATCTGAGTTTCAAAATTCAGCAACTATGAAAAGAGGTGTAGATGATCGCTCTGTGTATAGTATAGTGTTTGTACTGCTGGAGATCCGAAGTGGAGAAAAAATAATATGGAAAAATTTAATTCCAAATAGTCCAGATGCAACCCGTCATCTTCTTTTTTGTTTTGCAAAAGAGACTGCTAGTTTTATTCAGGAAAAATTTGAACATTTAAAAAATAAATTTTTTTTATTGAAGAATATTGAATTTAAACTTGGTGAAAGTACTTTTGTAGTAAAGTCTAGTTTGTCAACTATTTATACCACAATGAATGATGGCAAAACACTAAACGCTGTTGTATCAGATATGCTTAAAAAAAAAATTTCATCTCAGTCCTGCCATGTATGCCTTGCAAATTCTAAGGAGTTTAACTTGAAAACTATTTGGAAAAAAAATATTAATTTAAACAAGCATGTTTTGAAACTTGGAATTTGCAGTCTTCATCTATGTATGGAATGGATTTTCAATACTGCTTGTAAACTCCCAGCTGTTAAGCAAGGAAGAAATATTCCATCACAAAAGAGTAAAGAATTTATTGAAAACAAAAAAAAATTTCAGCATTTATTCAAGATACAACTGAATATAAGGGTTTCTTTTGTCAGGAAAGGATGTGGAACAACTAATACAGGAAATGTTGCTCGCAAATTTTTTAATAACCCGATTGTGACACGGGGAATTTTAAACTTGGATATCAGAATGATTAAGTTGTTTTGAGATTTACTCATTGATATAAACAGAACAACTACAAGACCGGATATAAAGGTTTTCAAACAGAAATCTGAACATCTATTTGCACTCATAACTAATGATAAATTTTTAAAAACCATACCTATGTCACAATCTGTGCATAGAGTGATAGTTCATGGTACTTCTTTTATAAGGTATTTTAAGTATCCAATAGGTTCTTTGTCTGAGAGTGCTATTGAAGCCAGAAATAAGGAAAACAAAACTGATTGAATTGGTCATGCTCGTTTAACCTCTTTTGCAGAAAACACTAGGGATACAGCTAATTATTTGTTTATGACATCTGATATGTACCTCTTTTGCAAAAAAAACAAAATGGATAAAAAAAGAGTGAAAACAAAATAGTTTAAGAAAGCAAAGTGACAGTTCTTCTGATAACTGCTTAAAATAAAGGTAAAATAGTTTTATTATTAATATTGTTAATAGTTTTGATTGATTTTTTTTTGGTTAGGCAATCTTATAATTTTGGTTAATTAACAATTCAAAGTTGCGTTTTTTTTTTTGTTTTTTTTTTAATGTTTTTAAAAATAAATTTAAGAAATAATTTAATCAATTTTAACAAGCAATTAACTATTTTAGGAAGTAAGACCATGAAGAATTATACTGATGAGCTGTTCTGCGTTGAATTTTTAAAAAACGGCTATTTTCATAGCCACAAGTTATTAAAAACATCTATTAGAATAGAACGTTGAGAAACTGTGAAAAAATGCAAAGAGCCAAGTATCTTATGATAGCAGAGTTGTTTATTATATTCAATGATACTGTTTATTTTGAAATAGTGTTCATATACATAGTTTGTAAAATTCTATAAAATATAGGCGCCTACTTTTTTTTGAATAAAATCATCCGGACTTGTGTAGTTTTCCGGACAAATCTAGAATTAGTCCGGACTAACCGAAAAAAAATACAATAAATTGTTTTTTTACGAAAACCGAATATGATTCTTTTAAATATAGAAATATAAATAAAAATTTGATGTCTTGTTAAAAAATAAGTTAAATATTTTAAGTCCTTTATTTATATGCCTATTTCCTCATTTTGTATAAGAGCAACGCGTAGTGCGCTGCTTTGCCGCGTTGGCTTGCACATCGTGTTTACATCGGTCCGTTAGCGGAAAACTGAAGGCGGTTCGATGGCGGCAAATCGACAACGTTTGAACAACGATCCGTCAGCGGCTAACCGATGATAAAGCCATAGCGGAATAGCATAGGATCTATAATAAGTTTTGACTAAGATTTGAATGCATTGCTATAAATATAATTATTTTTGTTTTTTTGTTTGAATAGAACGCACTTATCGTTAGCAAAAATATTTATATCTTTCAGCTCAAATTTTTACTCATAAAAAAATGCCAAACCTGTCAATGCTTGGAAGACACATCAAATGCCTTTTGACTATGTGCATAGGTATATAGAAAAGATACGAATTTATTATACTAAAATTCACCTTACACCGAAAAACACTACCCCAACTGTAAATCATTAGGTCATACGTGGCAAGGCTTAAGCTCGGTGAACAAAAAGACTAATCAGAAGTTATAATAAAAATCATTTTAAAATTGCAATTTACAATTACAACATGAATATAAAAGTAACAATAATTTTTTTTAAACTAAAGCAAAATATAAAGTATATTTGCATCTATAGACTATTGCTTCACTTGCGTTTAGCGAACGTTTAAAATATAAAATAGTTAATTTTCAACACATCTATAAGTTCAGTTTATTCTCATTTCAATCGAAAACTAAATTTATTCAGGAAATCATGTGTTGAAAATTGATTTACGTTGCAGTCTGCAGACTTCTAACTTTCACCTAAAAGCAGGCAATGATATATAATGAAAATATTGAAACAGTCAAGTTTAGAGCTATTACAACAAAGATAATAAACTAACCTTCTCAGCCTTTAAAAACGTATCCGTTTGAAATAGTCTGATCACCAGTTATTGACAAATAACTTCAGATACTAAGTGCATCTACATTGAATAAATATAAATTAAATTTTATTATTTAAGCATAATTTAAAACATTAAAAAACAACAAAAACATTGCTTAAACTGAAAAGCTATGGAAATAACTTTAAAAAAAAAGCTATATAAAAATAAAGTCATATTGCGTGCCTTTTTTAAAAAATAAAACTTTATATACAGTAACCTACCTGGTATACCTAATCCTATAAATATGCTTGACGGGTCTATGAACAATAAAAATTGTTATTTCATTAAAAAAGTTATCTTTAATTTTAAATTTAATTTAACAAATAAAATAGTATTTAAAAATGAGATACTTATATGCCAGGTAAACCCACAGCAACTTAAGTACAATGGTGAACCTTATGCAAAGCATAAGCCTTAGACACAAGTGCACATCTGAAAAAGGAAGAATCAGAGACAGAACACATCAATAAAAATCTATTTTGATAAACTAAAATATAGTTTGCACATTGAACATAGTTTTCACCATACAAAAACAAAAAAAAAAAAACATAACGCAATTTAATATACTATAAAAATTCCTTGAAAAATATAAAAAGTCAAATAATTGATTGAAATAAAACGGTTTAGTAAATAAGTATATAATTTTTTTAAATAAATTATTTGTAAGCATATAGAGAGCAAATAAATATGTTTAAAGAAAATATGATTTAAATCCAGTTTGCAAATCAAACAACTATCTTATACCCATGGCAATATTTGGATCATGGTCAACATAATTCTATGAAATATAACTCTGGTTGAGGTAAACGGTTTCCTGTAAAGAAATAATATTAAATCATAAATGTAACATTAAATTACAAGCATGTTTGAACGGAATTCTTAAAGTAATCCTTTAAAATAATGGCTTGTAAAATAAAAATTTTGTTAGATTTTTATTCATCTGCTTCACCGGTTAAATACCAAGTTAATTTATCTTTCCATCAATAACTTTATATTTTAAAGCTTATAGTTATATTTAAATTTAATATAATCAAACAAATCAAACAGTAGACAGACTCCAGAACTTATATTTTGTTTTTTTTTCAAAAATAACATTAAAACAAATAATATCAAAATAATAAAATTAATCTTACTTTATTCTCTGGTAAGATTCAATATCACGATTTAAATTCTCATCTACAATCCTATTAATAAATGTTATGCAATATTTAATGGCATTAATTTGATATCTATTTTTTTTATTAATTTTTTAAAGAATATTCTTCAGTATATAATATACTAAACAATATTTTTAAAAAATTGAAAAAAAAAAAATAGATAAATGCCATTAAATATTGCATAACATTTATTAATAGGCTTTATGTCCTTTATTTCCGTTTATAAATGACCTAGCTGGTGTACCACAAATAAAAGCTGATATAGCAAATTTATATACTTTACCATTAATACTAATACCAGAATCAAATAAAGCAATACTTTCATTAACAAACATTTTTAGAAATTCATTACAGTCTTTTGGTTTAGACCTATTATAAAAAAGACCGATTATAAATGGGGTTTTATTGTGTTGAATATTGTTTATCCACATTTTTTATTAAACCTAATATCGGCCAAAATTGGCCATTGCTTTTAAACAATGGTAAATCATCAATGTTGACTTGAATTGATATACAATCCTTTTTCTTTAAAAAACTTGAAATTACCTTGAAATTACTTAAAATACCTTGTCTAATGCCAAAATGACAATACTGTCCTCCAGTTATTGGTAACAGGTACAAAAGCCTCTGACGTAGAGTGCGTGGCTTCTTTGGCAAATCAGGAAACAATTTACCCAAAAATTTTAACAAAGATGCTAATGCTTCATCGGTTATAGCAAACTTAACTGATGCAGATATAGATATAATATATAGATTACTATATATTATATCTATCTATATATATACATATATATATATATATATATATATATATATATATATATATATATATATATATATATATATATATATATATATATATATATATATATATATATATATATATATATATATATATATATATATATATATATATATATATATATATATATATATATATATATATATATATAGTATAACATTGTTCTTGTTATATTAAAATTTATACGACTAGCCATGTAACTTTTAATATAACAAGAACAATGTTATACTAATATGGTTATAACATTGTTACATAACTGTAACAATATTGTTAAAGTTATATATGTTTAAAATAAAGTAAAATTAGTATTTTTAATTTTGAGTCTTATAAATATATATTGAACCTATATGTATATCTATAATTTATATCTATATCTATACTAAGTGTAGATATAGATATTATATATAGTAATCTATACTTAGTATAGATATAGATATAATATATAAGAATAGATAAGAATATAAATTATAAACATAGATATAAATATAATATATTATATAATATAAAGTATAGTATACTTTATATTAAAATACTTTATATTACTTTATAATTTCTAATATAGATATAGGTATAAAATCATGTAACTTAAAATTTATAAGCAATAATTTTAGCTATATTTTAAAATATAAAGTATAGATGTAGATTGAATATAAATTTATATATATATAACCTATATTGTAAGACTTAAAAATAAAAAGACTAATTTGATTTTTTTAAATACTACTTATTTATTACTTACTGTTTTACATAGACTATGTACTACAATATAAAATATAAAAATCGATCAATCTAAGTCTCATGGCGCTTGAAATGCTTACTTTTGGTGTTTTTACGACATCGTACCGTTATCTAGGAGCCAACTCGGGCATTGTGTACAGCGTATTGTCATAAACTTACTAAAGCTGGCATGCCAATTTAAAATCGCATTGGCAACGAGGTGTTTTATTGCTCTTCAGCTGAGGGTGGAAGGCCAACACAAAATAGCATGCCGGTCCTGCATCAGCTACCCGGCAGCGGTAAGCCGCATTAGGAATTACACCGGGTTTCCGGCGGCGGCTTTGCGCACCGCGGTCCGCTGAAAGCATGTTTGCTGGGAATGGTCCGCTAAATAACCGATGAGCAAAACTCCAATAAACCGCTAAAAATATGGCTATATCCATTGCAAATCCACTAAACAATGTTTGCTGGGTGGTTTTAGTTAAAAGCAGAACTTCATATTTTTGTTTGGTGTTTAACTGAATTATTTGTCTTTTAAAGAGTACGTAAATAAAATAGTCGGGCTACTTTTTCAACAAATACGTGTGTTTATGTAAAAATTTAAAAATATATGTTTTGAAATTTTTGCTTAAACACTTTTTGCCTAAACAATTCTTGGAAAAATAACCCTAAAAATAACTAATTTAATTTATCGCCTAATTTATAAAACAATTATAAAATAACAAATAAAAATGATTGTTTAACTAGAACATTTTAAAAAAATACAGTAAGTAACAATAGTCAGTTAATTAGTAATTTCGAGGTGCCAATGGAAAAGTTCCACCTATAATATTTCATTTGTCTTCATTTTTTATTCGGCAATATCTGTAAACTATAATGAAATTTGTAAAATTAATTCGATAACTTAATAACCTATATTATTTTACAATAAAAAGCTTATTCAATTTTAGAATGATAAAAAGCTTTTCATTTTTATTTTTCCATAGCTATATAATAATCGTAATTTTTCGAGAAAAAATCTAAAAATTGAAAATATAAGTGTATGAAAATATGAAAAAGATATCTATAAAATATGGACAATTATTCCTGCTGATTTCTAATGAATATTAATTGCATTTCCTAAAACAAAATTGTATATGTATATCTTAATTAGAGGTGTGTCGAATATACCTGACTTCTTTAAGTTATGCAGTAATTTGACCAATAGAAAGTTCCAACCATAATATTTCATTTATCTTCATTTTATTTATTCAACCAAAACTGTATTTGTAATGAAATATATATAAATATTTTTGTAATTCGATAACTTGATAAAATATATTTTGCTATTAAAATGTAACCGATTCAGATCATTATAAAAATCTTGCCATCAATTTCACGCCATTAAAAAATATTATTTGAAAATGCTGTAGTGCTGCTAGAAATAATTTCATATTGGTTTTTCATATATGTAAATAATTTCATATATGTAAAAAAAAAAAGCAAGATAAAAGCTTGACCCTTCTGACCACTCAGCATACTTCCTAACCCGTTTATACATTTGTGATAAGTATTTTTGATACGTGTTTGTTAAACTTCCTTAAAAAAAAAAAATTTATATTAATAATGTTATGTATATCATAATTAAAGGCTGAGTATTCTATATATATATATATATTTTTTATTCTTTTCTTTTCCTTACATTCTCCAATATCAAGTAAGTTGAATTTTCTATTGATAGATTTCTAATTGTAAAAATAAAATTTTAAAGCCTTTCATTTTATAGATATATTACACGATTGTTCTATATACTGCCCGCAAACTCAACATATGATAAAGACGTTTACACTTACAGAAATTTGTACGTAACTCTATACAAATAGCGAAAATAAGAAGATCTTAGACCATAACAACTATAGACGCGGCCTTAGCTTACTAATGCTAATCTAAAAGTTAGGCCAAAAAATTTTTGCCCAGTGACGTCAGTGTGTGGCAAAAAACTTTTATACGTCAAGTTTGCTTTTGCGTTTATCTTATATTTTTTGATTAATTTTGAATATGGTACATACAATTACACAAAAAGATATAAAACTTTTACAAATATGTCATTTCACGGATAAGAGTTTTTATTTATTACAAAAGTAATAAATGAATATTTTTAAAGGAATAACATAGTACTTATTATATTTAGTTTTATTACGATATATACCATAAAATATAATTTTATATATTTTTAAAAAACTAAATTTTCCTAAAAAAATTTAAATAAAACCTTAATTCTAGTTTTTTTTTTCTAGTTTTTGCCGCAAAGTGATCTCACATAGGCGAAAAAATATTGGCTTGACAAAAAAACCGCGTCTATTTTAATGGTCTAGTAAGAAGATAACGTAATTTTAGCAATCAAGAGAGGGGCAAATCTTTTTTTTCTTTTTTTTTTCCTGTTTACATTAGTTTGTCGTTGAACAATTTTTTAGTCATTGTAAGAACTACCTACCACAATTTTACAATGATAAATATAAACAAGGTAAAATGACTTAATATAAACAGTAAAATTAATAGCTTAGTAATAATAGAAAGTAAACAACTTTAAGATGTTACTATAAGTAGTACATATATACGTTGTCAATGGAAAGAATAAAACTTTTAAGTTTTGCTTTAAAAACAGGGAAAGAAAAAGACAAATAAAAATTTTTAAAAATCAGTGTAACTTTTGCGATTTTCAATTGATCAGAGAATATCTTTTAGTTGTTCAAAACAGCCAATAACTTTTTTTTTTTCTTTTTAATCATGGTACAAATATTATTTTTACAATACACATTTAAATATATATACAGTAGAAGAGAATACATAAATAAATACTGAAAATTACATAATAATTAAAATCAGAGAGGGGCTCAAAAAAGATCCGGAAAATATTACATTATCACAATCTTTTCATAGAGCTCCTTTATAAAGACTTAAATACTATATCTTCATGGTATAAAGATACCGTTAAAATACTTAAAACAATTTAAAAATAAACAAACAGAAAAGAAAAAATATAATCAAGCGAAGAAAATTAACCGTTAAAATTATCAAACAAATAGTTAAAATGTTCTTCTTATGATCACATTTTGAAAATTTCTTTTTTTGTTTTGAAACTGTATTACCATTCATGTCATTGGCACCAGTTGCTTTATTTTTATTTTTTTTAAAGATTTGAAGGCTTTTTCAAACTTTTCAAAAGAAAATTCAGAAGACAATTCATTAGAATTAATGCAACCATTAACTGGTACTAAAAATCACTGAATACAACTTGGGTATTTGGAACTTTAGTTGCCAATTTAGGACAAATTCCAACAAAAAAACTATTAAATTCACGAGTTATTTCCTTTGGCTCAGAGTAATAGTTTTTAAGTTTTTGGGAGTTTTTTGAAACAATTTAAAATTGAAGTTTCAAATTTTCCACTTGGGTGAGACAATATATTTCGTATTTTTTTAATATTGGCAAATTTTTTTAAAAACAAGAACATAAATACAAAAATTTAAAAGAAAACAGCTTGTGCAAAAAAGACTTGTAATTATAAGAAAAGTTTTCTTATATTACACACGATTCCGTATAAAACGTTTTAAAAGTCGATTTTTATGCGTATAACATATTTGTTTATATATAAACGCAACTTTTTTACTATGCAATATAGCTGCGCTTATTTAAATAACCCTCTTGAAAAGTGTCGATTTATTGCAATCATTACATTTACATGTATAAATTCGATAGATCAGTGGTTTAATGCGCTGTCATCGGTGCCGTTTTGCGAGGGTTCAAATCCGTCCCTTCCCAATGGACACAGGGCTTTGGACGTCTATATGACGTACCGCTTAGGTTCATTTGTCCTAGTCCAAAATGGTACGTCTTTGGACGTCGAGTCTTTTGGACGTCCAATGAACGTCCAGTCTAAAATAGTACGTCCCCGGATGTCCGCGTCGAAGGAGATTCATTCTTTTTTTTTTTTTCAATTTTGTTGTTTAGGTGCCCCAAGAAGACCTAACGGTCTTGTGACAGAGCACCGCGAAAGTGCATTTAATCAGGAAGTTCACGCCTCCTTCCTTACTGTGACGCGAAAATATGTCCAGAGCTCGTTTCGAACTTAGATCTACTGCTTCTAAAGCAAGTGCTCTGACCACTGCGTCACGGCCGCAAATTCTCCGTGCTACTTTTACGCATGCGTGAATATAAAATATTTTTTAAATGGTTAAAAAAACATAGTTTAAAAATTGTCAATTTTTATGCTAAAAAACTATTTAGTTATAGTTATCAAGTATTAACTTTTAGTTTAACTATATAGCTATATAATAATATCTTTTTAGATTAATAAATTTAATTAACAAATATGGGCCACTAGCGGCTATCAAATAGGCAAAATACATTTCCTTCAAAAGGTTTATTTTGTGATCTCATGATTATGAGTCTTTATCTAACTTAAAAATAAAATCAATAAATTCGAACTTCTTCATACTAATAATAGAACTACATTTCTTTGTTTTTTAATATAAATTTTTTATGCAACATAAGTTTATTAGAAATTTTATACTATAAATTGTAGAGATTTATATAAATGTAGTCAGTGCCGGATTAAGGAAAACTGGGGGCCTAGGTGCTAAAACTGAGGGTCCCATTTTTGTATTAAAAAAGTTATTTTTGTAGGATTATTGAGTAATTAAGTACGTACATTCATTAATGCAAATATTTACCAACGTACATAAACCTTTTCTTCATAAAAATAAAAAATTATGTGATAAATCTGGTATTTATTATTTTTTTAAACATACTACACTTTTTTTAATGTACTTTACATATCTTTCTTTACGTTTATAGTTAGGGCATTTACAAAAACAACTAATAAAGCATGTCACAATTTACAAAATTAGCATTGTTATATGCCCTTAAATATTTTTTTTTTCTTATATCTTTTATTGATTAAATTATTTATTACATTATCAAAATCGATCTCGCGAAGAATATCTGATTCAATAGACATCAAGTTCAATTTCTCCTGAAGCATGATACTTCTTTGCTCACTTTTATTCGTTTTATTTTTGAAAACGAGCGCTTCGCAAAACAATTTGTAATTATAAGTGTTAAAAAAAGCAATTTCTACGTTCGGAAAAACAGATGCAAGGTTGTCATGAACCAAAGTTTCGTAAAGTTCAGAATAAGAGTTTTTGATGTAAATTTTACTTTGACGTAGCTGTGATATTGCTTTAATTCTGTATAAAAATCTTCTAAGTCGTTAGAATAATAATTAATCAAATTAGAAACCT